AGGGCTCTTCCCTTTGATAGGTTTCGAGCAATTACCCTGGCTTGCGAGCACATTTTATTTACCAGCCTTGGGATCGCTTTAAGCCCGGACTGTACACTTATCGCATGTACCACCGGGTTCGGAATATCATGCGCGTAGCGAGATACGAACGCCGTATACCCTTTCACCACAGAGTCACTTGGGAATAAAATTACAAGTGGGTCCCCAGCAGCCACCCGGATTTTTGACATAATAGCAGGTTTACTATGCCAAAGACAGACATAATTGTTTTATATTATTTTATAATATTATTATAGATTTTATATATATATATTTATTTCAATTCTTTTTTTATTTTTTTAAATTTATATTTATCACCGCACGTAATTTTATGAAATTTTATTATTCCCTCGAACTTGGGTATTTACACCTCAGCAATATACTAATACGAAGAAACGAAGAAAGTAATCGATAAAAATTAAATCCATCGACTAAAAAGATAATTGTCTCAAAAGAAATAAGAAATAATATAAAGGGTAATATAATATAATATAAATATGATTAAATAATATTAAGGATATTAAATAACAAAAGTATAAAATATTGGGACCCAACCGCATGAGTTCCTTGATGAGTGGTTTCACAATAAGAAAAGAACAAATTTCTTGAGAAGGCTATGCAACTGTATATTGACCTTAATCTTTTATTGACATATGAAGTAAAATAAGCAAAAAATCGATCACCAATAAACATGAATCCAGCTTGATTAAGGCGCATCATCCTGTCCTGTATTTTCATTGAGTAAAAGGAAATAAAAATTTTCTAGTAGGCTGATTCATCGATATTAATTTAGGAATTGGGAGCAGAATTGCTTTGTTCCGTTCATCTGGTAATACTTGTTTCTTCCATACCAGAAAGTACATTTATCGAAGGTGCATTATGTCGCCCTAGTGCACTTCCTACTGTTATGTCCTAGCGTGAAGTGAATAACTTTCGGAAATGTTCCTTTAGTTAGGGCCAATATTCATTTGCCGTTTCAGAAAAGTCATTGATATTTATACTACTGAAGTGTTCGATAATACGGTTTGAAATGCGCTCACTGTCCACGAATTTTGTTTACTTTCGGCAATCATTCTTTAATAACGCAAATTAAGAGAAATTTTCAAAAATTTGTAAATTTATAAAATCCATTCATAATGATAGTTGTGGAAATGGTTTATATGATAATAATTTTTGATATCAAGCTGTGATTTATTCTCTATGATTTTTCTTTTATATCTGTAGGCACTATTTTGCGAAAATTTCCATCCATTATCTGTTTTTATGGGAAATATGAAGGTCATCATCGCATTTATTCTTCATTATTCTTGCTGTTTATCTATGGAGTTTATTGATTTCTTTAGAAGGCAAAATGAATTTTCTGGCTGAATCATAATCTTTCCAGAAATTCACCATTACCTGCACCATTTTCCTTACTCTATTATTTTTTTTGGAAAAGAATTAGTTTTCAAACTTCATATTTTAGCGAAAAATTTTACCAATTTTCGATTCTATTTTTATCGATCGAAATTTTCTTTTCGTCGAAAGAAATATAAAATTATGTAGAGAATCCATTTTCAAATCCATTTTCTTAATTTTAGTAATATTCGATCCATTAAAGGAATTCGTTTTTCTAATAACGCTCATCATTCCAGATTTGGCTTTTGCCTCTAAGGAGAGATCCTTTCGCCTAAGAGTTACTTGAATATAGAAACATAGATGGATTCCCAACTATCCCTGGATAATAACGGTGAAATTTCATAATAGGAAATTAGCATTTGAGATCTTCAGTGCATTTGATTTATGAAAAATTTCCGGGTTTTTCTTCATCAAAATCAACGACTTTTCAATTAGCGTTACTGCTATAGACTATTTTAATGTGAGTAATTGGCTGAAAACTGGTTTCAAGAAATTTTTTGTGAAAATTGTTATTGTATTCCATTTTTTAGCATTTCCCTAAAAACTGTGGAAATAATAATTGAACAATCAGCTCAGCGAAATATTCAGTATTATAAGTAAAAATAGTGAATAGTATTTTGATAAACGTGCGCGCATTGCATAAGAAAATCAGATAGCAAGAAGCAGCTACTATCAGCTGCAAGTAACTAATTCCTCCTTTCATCACTTATTGTTCCTTTCCTTTCTCTTTTATCTTATAATTCGGAAATTCTTTCTGATTTTGAAATTCGTATAGTAAACAGTTCAATTTAGCGCAGTTCAGCACCAAATGCTAAATGCCTGTAATTAGTGGGATGTTCTGCTTTATTAAATTTACATTTCCTTTGATATCTTTTTTACGAAAATGAGCATTATTGATGGGTATTTGGTAAGGAGGACCGCAGAAATTTGATTTAAAATAAATGAATCTCTACGGGCAGTTTTCACCCATCTTCGTTTCGCTCATCTTTGTTGTTACCATTTAATTAGAGCTAATTTTCATTGCACTTTTTTAAATGTTCATGCAATGTCACATCTTGAGTAAAAAGATTTTTTTAAAATAATTTTCGTACTGTTCTTCCTCATTTTCTTCTAACGGCTTTTTTATTTGGCTTGCACCACGAGCTGTCTTTGTTGCTATCATCGCTAGAAAAGCATTTGAGGATGGAAGTGCAAATAGCTTCCCAACATACATAATGTAAAATAGCTACTATCAGTTATAATCAGTTTTTCGAAAAAGTTACTGTTCAAGTTCAAGTTTTGCTAAAAAAATATTCATTTAAAATAAATACCGCTATAAATTTAACATTTTTCAATTTAAAGGGCACCGTAGCAGAATGGTTTTTTCTTAGATCATTTAACCAAAAGAGAAATGGTGAACTCCAACTAACTGCAACTAAATTATTACCTTTCGTTATTGTAATTTATCGACAAAATCTGAGATGATCTGAGAGGAAATGAGGAAATTATTTACAATTATTTCTTTTATCATAAGCCAATTTTCGATTATTTTGCATGTGGTTAGAAATCTTTTGTGCAGGTTTAGTGTTGGGCTTTGAGATTTCCGCTCTTTTTTGACAAAATGAAGGGTAATTTAATCTTTTGTCGGTAAGTTTTATCTCGGCTTTTGCTATTGATCGACACCATAAAATGCTAAATTACCCGTATAATAATGGATTTCTTTGCCTTACGATGAGCGTTATTAACCTTGAAATTATTTTTTTGCTAAAAACATTTTATTTGCAAATTTTCCATCTTCATTTTTTTCGAATTCTCAAAGATAATTTACGAATTCATGCATCGATTCTAAAATTTTATTGCTGCGATTTCCTCAATTACTATTTATTTCAATGTAAACCATGTGCATTTCTCTGCGAAAAAAATAATTTAAGATTGCAAAAAAATGTATTCATTTACTTTTTTCCTGTTTTATTGAATTTTTTCCTCCGCTTAAGGTAAAGCAAACTATTCATTCCTTCTTTATTCATTTGTGACTCAGCCATTTGTGAATCTTTTGTGCGATTTTCGATTTTGTTCATTTCGCAGTTGCGTGAATCTTCTTCGAGTCTATGCTTCGTATATTTTTTCATCGAATCCTACTGTCCTAAATTTTAAAATGCTTTGCACTTTAAAATCATAAGCGTTTTAAAAATCATTAATGAACTTTTCATACTGTTTTGTTTTGTCCTGGCTGGCACCATTTATAAAATTTTTCATTTGACAGAAGAAAAATGGTTGAAGAAAGGACTTTGAAATTACTCTAGAAAGCGATATTTCATTAGACAGCAGAATGGGCATTGTTTGAATATAAAGAAATTATTTTTATGAAAGATTTTTATGAAAGAAAATAGATTTTTTTGCGGAAAATAGATACCGTTGAAAATTTTTGAACATTTCAAAAATGGAGTGATAAAATATCGATAAGTAATCACTTCAACATTCAGTTTTCCTTTGTTTTTAGAAATTTTACAAAATTTTAATTCAATTAGAAAGGCAATAGTGTGCTGGTTTTTTATTAATAGTCTTTTACTTTTTATTTTTTTCATATTTCAAAGTGGATTTGATTGTCAGTGAAGTGAAAATGGTATAAAATTTATAAATCAATGAGTTTTGCTCATTTATTGCTTGTTAAGCGCTTTTTCTATTCTATGTTATCGAGTGACTGGATGGAAGAGATTGTTTCCATTGATTTGGTAGGTGTTTTATCGGATTTCCCCTTTGCCTTTGCTTGGAATATTGAGTACCCTTCGATGGATTCTAAAAAGTGGATTCATGGATACTGATTAATTGCTAAAAGGAACGTGCTTTAAGACATCAACTTTTTGGCAAGACTGATAAAGTAAAAAGCCTTCTCGTGGACGGGCAAAGAACATTGGTGGACAGTTGAAAGAAATGAATCGATGGACAGCGACGGACTAAACGAAAGATAATAAAGTGATGGGAAACGATTGACGGGCAAAGGCTCATTATGCCGACGTTTCTTGATTGATCTCATCTGCTGCGATTTTGATAGTATCGACGTTTTCCCATCGATTATCTATGCGGTTGGCGTATGAATGCAAATTCTGTCTGCTAAGACTTTGCTTGTCTTATAAACTGCAGTTAGCTAAAAGATACTAAAATATTTCTTAGACAAGGTCCTTGTAATGGACTGAAAAATGCAAGTTTTATTCCGAAGATTGAATGAAAGAAACGTGGCGTTGGCTGCAAAGCGGCGTCGATTCGATGATTCTCGTCTCATTACAGGAATTATTTTAATCTAATTTGATATGCGGCTTTAATGGTTTTATTTCCTCTCTCTCCTACTTCCCTACATTTTTATTGCTATTTTCATTTTGATTTGTTATTTTCACTTCTCTTATAATTTTTATTTATCGCGCTTTTAAATTTCCCATTTGATCTTATTTATTGCGAATGCAAAAAGACCATAAAGCAGAAAAATCGAGTCTCTCCCAAGATTTCCAAATTTACTCACTCAGCCGCTAAGTATGAATTTATGCGAGAGCCACCATTTACGATCAAAGTTCACTGAAATCCACCACTTTATGTGTCCGACCCGACGAATAGTTATTGGTGTCGTGGGTGCTTGCTTAGCCGATTGTTAGTAATCGGAAGCTTTTGAAATTTTTTCGGTTTTGGAAATTAGTTGGTTTTGTTTTCCTATAACTTGGGTAGAAATGATTTCTTGCCAAAGAAAATTTTTTATTCAATTTTTCTCGATTTTTCGGAATTCGGAATTCAAATTATTTTTATTAATTTTTTGGTGTGTGAAATTTCTTTTTTTAAGACTTTACTTTTATAAATATTAACAATTACAAATTAATTATTTGTTGTTTTGCTTCGTTAGTTTCCTTTTCTTCCATCGCATTCATTTTTTTCTCGTCGACTCGCTCAGCCAAAACGAAAACCCAATTTGTTTAGTAGAGAATTATGTATATTATATGATAAGAAACGATTGATGAGATTGCTATTTGATAACGAAAGAATGACGATTGCGGACTTCCTGGTAAATATTTTTCATAGGATTCCACGTTTTTCGTTCAAATTCACACGAGTTACTGATTCATTCAGTCCGATCTTCAGTAGTGAATATGCTCAGGTTTGCTTGTTTTATTTTTATCATCAGTTTTGTTTATGATCGCGCCTTCGCACTGTTTTTGACTCTTCTTAAACTGGCTTTTTATTTTGCTTAATTTCTGTAATCTCTTTGGATTGGTGGAACTTAACAATTGCAAGTTGTCTTTTTTTCAAAAGTAAGGTGAGGTAAGGTGAGGTTGGATTTTCATCTAATTAAATGATAAACTTTGTTGATAATCCTAAGTCCCTAAAGGTAATCGTTGAAAATCATCCAGGATGAAATATCCATCAGAAAATGAGAACAGTTAAACTGGAAGTGTTTGCTGTTGGTGATCGTACCATTTTTTTATTAATTTGGACTCAGAAAGAATTTTCGTGGTAAATTTGAATAGTAATTAATAAACTATTGATAAAGAAAATGAATTCAAAATATTATTGTAAAAATAATATTCAGGACTTTATTCTTTTAATTGTGATCATTTCTCCCCATTCAGTAGTCATTAATGGTAAAAAATAACATGAATTAGTGAATTAGATTTTGGCGACTTTTGTTTTCAGTCTATAATGTTTTTTGCTGCATTCACTATTCTTATCGGCGGATTATTATTATTAACAATAATAATAACGTGGATCTGTCAATGTTGTAAAGTGGTAAATACATCAGTTAAATCAAGAAAGCGAGTTCGACAGTTATCGTCATTATTATTTGCTATAAGCATATTTTGTTTGTAGGTTTAACTTTTCTTTTTTCTCTCTTTATTTGCATGCATTATATTTTCAAAAAATTATGAGATAAATGAAATTATTTAATTGAAATATTCACTATTACCTTTTGTGTATCCACAATCTTCATAAAAATAAATTAAATTTTATTTTTTATCTGTTTATTTCTTTTTGCAGTTTTTTCCTCGGATTTTGCCTGTTCGGAAATGAATTTGTGAATAGAGGGATTACATCATCAATAGCAAGTGCGAATGATATAATACAAAATTTTAAGTTGGCCTCTGCTCAGGTATATCTTTCTTTTATTCCAATGAAAACTGTTTAAAAAAATGCTTAAGAAATTGTAATAATGAAATTATATTTTTCAATTAATTGTTTAAACTCACTATATTTACTTTTGTTGTTTCAAATATTTCAAAATATTCTTATTTTCATTTTATTTTTATTGCTATTTTGTTTTTTATTCGCTGCAATGACGCGTGCAATGAAATTGGTAGTTAAAGATACTGTTGCAACAATAGAAATGTATATAATATGTATATATTGCAGTGCAATCGACTAAATGATACGCGAATACGTATGAGAGATCACATGGTTTTATTGAGGACTATCATGCAAGAGGAAGTGAGGAAACATACAGCTATCAATAAAACGGTCTGTGTTCAGCAAAAATAGAAATATCTAATAAATCTCTTTGCTTGAACCACTGGGCCAATTGTTTATCAAAAAAATTCGCAAATCTGAAACAAAAAGACCTTTATCTTTTCTTTTTGTTTTTCTGTTTTTCTTATAAATTTTCTATTTTAGCAGTCGCATTTGATTATTTTTTTACATATGATCTAAATATCTACATTTCTCGTAAGAAAATCGTCCTTAATAGTTTTTCGACAGCCGTAAATGCTTCGTAAATTTTTTAGTTTTCTCGTCTCTCAGAAAATTGGACGATTTTTGAATTTTATGAAACTTTTGAGGCTAATAAAATAATTGTGGATTTGGAGTTCTTATTTGAGAGGGAAATCTTTTCGTAAAAAGCACCAGTGATTGATTTTGTAGTATGGACAATGCCTTTAAATTAAATTATTGCTTCATGATTAATTAATAAATTTCTACTTAAATTTTTTTTTCAGTTGTGTCTCATGATTGTTTAATAAATTTCAATTTATTTGAAAGGCTTTCAGAAAAAATATTTAATATTTTTAATAAATATTCATATAAAAACTGTGTAGTTTTTTTAAATCAGGCTTTTAATGATGTCGAAAATTGGGTCAATTCGTCTATTGAGAGGATCGAAACATTTAATTATGATGTAGACCACATTAGAAATCTGTTGCTTGGAACAATATTCATTGAAAAAGCTAAGGTGTACTCTAATCGAATTGAACTGGAAAGGCAAGTCATCCAATTTTCTATATTTTTTGAAGTGTGGAAAATCTATATTCGAAAAAATTAACAGCCGATTTAGGAATAGAAATAAGTAGAAATGATGGAAATTTTAGATGGATTCTTTGTACGATTTTGTTATCAATAATGTTTGTGGTACTGTTCGCAGGAATTATTGGTTTTTGTCGTCGGTCAAAAAAAGGCGCCATTGTCTTTTCTGGACTGGGACTTACTGTTTTCATTGTTGGATGGCTTTTATTTTCTACAGTTTTCCCTGCTACTGTGGTAATGCTTAAAGCTAATCTATTGAACATTTTTTAGAAACTTTATTATGTTTTGAAATTTTTGTAATTTTTTAAATTTATGATCATATTTTTGTGATATTAAACTTGAACTTTTTTTGCCAAATTTGTTTTATGAATTTTTGTTAGTTTTTGTGATAATTTTTTAATTTTTTAGTCGCTGGCAGATTTTTGCGCTGATGGCGGAAATTTTATTCGAAAGCATTTATCGAATGATTCAGTGGATATATTGAATTTTTACCGCAAATGTGATCCTCAGTCAACTTATGATAACATTCCTCTACCATTAAAAGCGGAAAATATTACTGTAAAATTATCAGCTATTCAGTCATTACAGCGTACAATCGAATTAACACTTAAAAATATCTTCAATGAAAGTTTTAAGGCTTGTTTTTTTTGAACTTTTTCTCAATAGCGTTTAATGTTAGGAGATCTCATCAAAAAATTTTTTTTTGTTCCAAAAATTTTGGTTAGTTTTGAATTTAATTTAGTTTTTTTATTTCTAATTTTTTGGTCAATTTTTTTGTTTTTTAAATAAAAAATTAACTAGTCTTCAGTTTCCAGATCGAAGATGTTTTGAATTATTTGGATGATGATATTTCACGTTCATTACGAGGTTTCGGAGCCTTTTCATCAACTGTCGCATGTTATACATATCACTATGATTTCGAAATTATGAAACAAGGTTTTTGCGTTGATGGAATGTAAATTCTTTTTTATCATCTTTTATCAATCATCTTTCATCTTTTTTATCATCTTTTTTCACATATTTATAAATATATTATATAAATAAGAGGAATATAGCCGACAGGGAGTTCTTTTATTTCAATTTTTTGCTTTGAGCATAATTAAGCATTTTTAGCATTGGAGCATCAATATTAACATTATCGCTATTCTTTTTGGGCTTTTTCATGTTTACATTGCTTCTCATTGTTTCAAAATCCTGGCATCTCTTTGCAAGATTGTAAGTTTGATTAACAATTTTCTAATTTTCATCTTGAAAAAAAGTGGGAAAGTTATTGAATGTTTATTTAACCACTGATGTATAAGTGATCGTTATGGATGAATTTTATTTTTTTGCGTTTTTCTAAATGTTACACGTTGTAAATTATTATTAAAAGTAAAAATTTTGGAAGTCCATCAATTCATGGGATAAAATACTTTGCAACATTTTAGAAATCATACATTTTAAATAAAAACTGGTGTCCATCAGGGCTGCATCCTTTCTCCTACAGTATTCAACTATGCGATGAACTGGATAATGGGCATCACTTGTCAGCACTCAAGAAGCGTGCAAATCAGTCCAGAACATAGCATAGAATACGCTGATAATGTAGTTCTTTTTTACTGACAGTTATGAGGAAATGCAAATAATGTTAAACAATGTGTCAACAACTTCAGCCAGAATTGGATTCAAAATCAATATAAATAAAACAAAAGTGTTTTCGTCTTATATACAAGATGCTGATAAAATACCTTTTTTATCAATTCATTGCCAATTGAGGAAGTGCTGAATTTCAAATACCTTGGATCCACTATAACCTCAAAAGATAGAATTGTAAATCGTATAACAATGAATTATTGTATGAATATGAATTATGAAGTTAGAATTATGTTTTTCCGATTGATGAAATCTTTATGGAGTCATGGCGAAATCACCATAAAGACGAAAATCCGCGTCCATGTAAATGCAATTCGTTCGATCTTGCTATATGGCTGCGAAACATGGCCAATGAGAGTGGAAGATATTAAGAAGCTATTAGCCTTGACTACTCATGTCTAAGGTACATTCCACGGATCATAAAAGCCGAGCAGTTAAAATCGCACATGGTTATATCCACCTTCGCTCAGATACCATCTACATTAATATCACAGAGCATCGCCTTCGCTGATTAGGGCACGTTCTTCGTTGTCTACCACAGGAGTTGATGCATATTTCGTTATTTACTAAACCGTGTGTGATGATTGGCGTCAAAAGCGAACCAAGACCTGGACTGACGCGGTCAGAAAAGATTTTGAACGTATAGGAGAACGTATAGGGGATAGCGATATATGGACTTAGACGATGGAAAAAGGAATGGCTTCTATTACTACTAGCGATGGCGTCAGACCGGGCAGCTTGGAGACGTCTTGTTGCCAGCGAAGCCAGCCTAACCAGTTATAGTGAGAGCTGTTAGAAGAAGAAGAAGAATCATATATATTATATATATTGAAATTATATATACATATTTATAATTTATTCTTTCGAATTTTGTTTCGTAAAATTTTCTTTGCACTTTTTTTTGTATAAAATCAAATTTGTATTGTAGGCCGTCTGATTACATAGAAGTGGACGAAGAAGATCCATTTTTCCCTCGTACAAACGATAGCACGATCCCCGTAGATATTTATGGAACACATGTATATAATCCTCGAACTCGGCTGGCCAATTCTTTGTGAATTTTTAAAATCTTTTATGCCTGATTTAGAAACTTTAACCTCAAATTTCATAGTTTAATTTTTATTCATTGGCTTCATTTTTTATTCATTAGATTATCTACCATTCTTGAAAGTGATAATAATTTTTGTGATTATATTAAGACGCCAGTTTAATATAATTAGCTGTTAGCAGTACCTTTTCTGGTTTGACTTGCTCCAGTGATTATTAGGATGAAATATTTTTGCCAGATAGCCACATTGGAACACAATGGCTTCTTAACATCACTTTTTTTTTTGATTTTCAATGAATTTTCAGATTCATTTGAAGGGCAGGTCCAAGAAATTTTTAATATCTCATTTGAAGCTCTTGATATGATAATTTAAGCATTGTACCACTCGTCTAGCCTCTACCTAGCTTAACATTCCAGTCATTTGCAGAGAGCGAGCTGATCCTTCAACTGGAACTACAACAGTAACTGCTGGAATAGTTAGTGAATCAACAAGTAATCATATCCCACCTTCGACTGCTCTTCTTGACTCTGCTGGACCATCCACTCCATTATGGCAGCGAGGAATTGGTGATCGAACAACAACAGTTTCGGCAGGCAATGCACCTCCTGCGGTAGGATCAAATAGGTTTTTTATGATGCAAAGAGGGTAGTATACGGGCAAGGACTTCGAAAAAATTTTTTGATCAACAGTGAAAATGAAAATTTTTTATTAAAATATCCAGATAAATTGGTCGGATTTTCTAGCTTACATTGCCTTTTTTCACCTTCTACTTTTCATAGTAATTTTTTATCGATGTTAAAAATATTAAATACATGTGTGAATTCTTCCTGTAAATAAGAAAAAATTTTGGATTAAAGAAATCGTCTTTTTTAATCAATTTTTCTCTTTTACTTGCCCTTCGAAGCTTAATAGACTCAATTTCTAATGAAATCGTTCTTTTGTCGGGAAGTACTATTATTATGTTTATTATATTTCTGAATTATCAGATTTCAGTATAATTCATACGGCCTATTCCGTGAACAATGATAGAACGTATCGCTGTCGTAGTTGTCAGGAGCGATTCGATGTTTGAGGATAAATAAGGACGATTTTTTGTTGCTTTTAATAATTGTATGTATAGATTTCCTAAATTTATTCTTTCATATTCCATTTAAATCCTTTACCAAATATGAATAGAATCAGCCAAAAAGAAGTTCTATATGTGTTTTGGTCAATTTTTTGTGTAACAAGTTATCAATATTATTTTTAAAATATTTCATTTTAGGAATTCGGAATTCCGTTTTTATTTAATTCTATATTTTTTAAATTCGAATGCTGTATATGCTTCTACTTTAAAAATAATATTCTATTTCTACTGTAATATTCTGTAATACTGTAATAATATTCTATTTGGTATAATCCTTGCTGTCGATTATAAGATGTTCGTGTTCCAAACAGTTCTCAAGAAATTCAGCATTCCAACAATTGTATTCCAACTGACTTTGGTAATCATTCTTGCTGTTTTCATCAAGCAGAAATAGAATGAGCTAAATATTTGCCAAAATACACCAATATATTAAGTATAATAAAATATGATATACTATTGTACTATTTATTAATATACTTTCTCATAATTTAATGGAGGTAATACCTTCAGAAATAGAGTATTCGGCTTTTTTTCCATTATTAAGTAAAGCATTTCAATTCTGTTTTTGTATTGAAAAAATTGAGTGCTCGAGCGCTGATATTGGGAACGTAAAAAATTTTGATATAATTAATTAATTAGTCATAGAGCATTAATTTAATATTTCAACACTTATATCCATATCTGCAAATAATTAAGCAAATCACCTCATTTCTTATGGTATTTCATTTTCATTCCATAGAATTTCATTTATTGGTGACATTCTGATTTTGTTTATTCGCATCCTTTAGGCAGTCGATTAATCTATTTTTTTCTTTAATCGCTACTTTAATTTTTTAAAGGATAAAATTCATCATTTTGACGGAATAGTCTAACAGCGAATCCACTTTGTTCTTTACTACTTCTTTGCTGCTTTACTACTTTTAAATAAAGTTTAAATTTTTTTTGTTATGAAGTGAAACAAATGCCAAACCATATGTATATATATTTCTTTACATTTAGCATTTACATTATAAGGAATTTAGTATGATAGAATAAAATTTGTGAACGAAAACGTTGGAAATAAATGATAATAATGACTTAATAGTGATAGTAATGGCAACAATATACTTGGAATCGTCGTGATAGCCTCTATGAATTTTGCGAAGGCTGAAGGTGGTTAAACACGGTAAAGCGATGAGATAGTAACGAGTACATCTGTTCACATATTGGGGTTGGTTTGTGGATGATTGCATTTTTACATCGCACTACATTAACATTTTTCTTCCGTGAGAGGTACTACAGGTAATAATCGTCTCGTTCGTTTAGTGTCTTTCAAGTCTGAAAAAAAAATAAGTGATTTCGTGATTTCAGGTTAATTAAATTAAGTATTTATGAAATGTATGGTTAATCAGATAATATTTCGTCAAAATTTCCTGTTCTAATAGGATTCTACGCATAAGATGAAATTTGTTAAGATTTCAGCATTTTGTAATTGAAAATGGTCTCAAATTTCGAGGGCTCACTTTTAGGCGAGTTTTGTTCGTCAGTCAGTCCTAATGTTTCCATATCAAATTGTCGAGGAAATATTCCTTTTGATTTCATATAACCTGTTAATTGAGCTGGTACCTCAAAGAAACGGATTCTTTTATTTATTGAACAAAAAATTTTTTTAAAAATTTTGATTTTCAAAGTAGGAAATAGGGAGTTATTTGGGGATGGGATAGATATACAAATGGCTAATGTTTATTAGGTAAATATTTTACTTATGAACTTTTATTAAGACGCAGGAGACCCTATCTATAACCCTATCTTCCAGCAATTCTATGTTGAATGGGTCTGGTCTTGTGCGTGTTATCAGACCAAGCGATAACTGATATACTCTTTCTAAATATCGTGTGGATGTCGCCTGCTTGTCCGTCTTCCTCAGTTTGGGTCCCGAGCAATTAGTAAAGCTGGCTCCGAGCAGAGATATTGGCTAAACCATTGTTTCAGATAATTTGAGGTGTATTGGCTTAACTATCATGTTGGAAAAAGGTTGGTCTGTTCTAATTGGATATTAAATAGTCGTGTGGTTGAACCATCCTGATTGGATGGTAACTGACCGTATGGCATAGGTCCTCTTCAAAGGGAATTTCTGCAATATTTCGATCATTAGTGTGTGCTTCAACATCATACGCATGTGACTGTAACAAGGATAAGTTTTATGCGGAATTCCAATTACTAACAACATTACTGAAACAATGGTCATAATTGGGGGAGATTGGAATGTGTGCGTAGGTCATGATGCCATTGCGATGAATTTGGTAATTGGTATGGCATCAAGGTCCAATGCGCCAATGGAGAATGCCTTCTTTTTGCCGAAGAGCATGAACTTTTTGGTACTAATACATCGGCATCATAGAAGACATTCTGCTATATTATGTTTCGAGCCAAGATCTGCATAAAATTGACAACTCGTAAAAGAAATAATGTCCCTCATAATCTTTCAAATCTCGAACTAAAAGATTTAGAGACAGTAAAACAATAAATGCATTTCAAACCTGAAGCATCTGAGTGAAATGAACATTAGTGATATCTCTGGAACGGCAGATGAATTCCAACTAAAGGAATGTCTCCGAAGGTCAATCACTTCCATATTAGGATATATTAATAGGAAATACGCTAATTGGATATCGGAAGTAACTGTCAAACTATCTACAAAGGCTGCCAAAGCACAATCTCAAGAGATCCTGGATGCTTCAAAGCATATGAGATAGAAACTGTTATTGAAGCGATAAAATCTTAAAAATGAAGACGACTGCTGCAATTAGGCGATAATAGAAAACTATCTCCTTTTTCATAAGGCAACTTTAACTAAGGGAACGATTAGTAAAATGATACGAAATAGAGGGATGCCTATTAAGATTATTAAGGATCACCTTATAAAGTAGAAGAAATTCTTTGAGGGCAAATTTAACCACGAAACGCCATCTGTTGTCCCGGATATAGTTGAGCCACTCATCGAGCAATATTTTTACAATTGCGACTGCGAATCGCCAGCTGAAAAGGAGATAATCCCTATCAGCCAGAGGTTTAAGGTCAATAAAGCTTCCGGAGACGGTCCTCAGATTTAAATCTTCGAATTGCCTATCGTCATTCTCAATACTTCTTTAGTAAATGTTCTCTGGTATGGAAGAAAGAAATAATTCCAGATGACTGGAGCCAAGCAATTCTGATTCTCTAATTCCCAAGAAAAGGCATACAGTGAAAATATCTGAGGAATGCTTCGATTCATTCGATAGAACCTTGGAGAATGATGAAATATGGCGGATATGATGATATTCCAGAGAAGATCATTTGATTCATAAAGGTTTTTTTTCAGTGTACATGCGACAGACTATTTTGAAATAAGAGCTAGTGTCCGTCAAGGCTACGTCTTTTCCCTTATATTATTCAATTATCTACTGGATAATAAGCATCGCTTCTCGGTACTCAAAAAATGTGCAAATCGGTCCAGAGATTAGTACCACGGACCTTAAATAATGATAACGTAGCCTTTTTTTCCATCAGTTATGACAAAATACAAATAACACTAAACAGTGCGCAACCACAGCGAAAATTTTACTCATCAATATGAATAAAACGAAAGTTTTTTCGTCTTACATGCCATAAGTTGATAAAATACCTATTTTTCATCGACTATAAATATATTTTAATGATCCACTCTAATCACAAACGTCCAAGCGAAAGATGAAATTATAATGTCAATAACGTTAGCTAGAAATATATATTCAGTTGACGAAACCTTTACGGAGCCGTCCTGAAATCACCATCGAAATTAAAGCTCGCGTCTATATAGCTGCAATTCGATTGATCTTATTACTGTAATAATATATGGCTAATATTTTGTTATATGATTGTGACTGTGATACATGGCCAATTAGAAAGGAGGATATTAAGGTTAAGGCATTATCTATTGTGATTCGTTTAATGTGACAGTCTACTTTGATCACTATGTTTAAATTTTACGTTTTCGAGGATCGGATAAAATTTCATATAATTGCATCCATCTTCGCTCATATATATATATATATATATATATAGCTCATATATCTTTCAATAACAATAGAGCGTCGGGATCGCTGGCTAAAGCGTGTTCTTCTTCACAGGAGTATACTTAACATATACTTGTTTTCATTTGCTAAACCTTGGGTGGTGTCAAAAAAACGAGGTGAGCCAATCAAGACCTGGACTGATACGGTCAGAAAATGAAAAGATTTTGAAGATTTTGAAAGATTTATAGATGGACCAACATATGGAATTAGACGATGGAAAAAGGAATGACTTCTATTACTGTCGACAATGGCACCAGAACGCATAGCTTTTACCCAGAGGAGTCAACCTGACCAGTAATGGTAAGAGCCGTTAGAAGAAGAAAAATTGCTTTTAGAAGATTTTTAGATTTTTCAATTTTATTTGTTTAAATGCTTTTCCGTTCATATAATTCTTAATTCAAAAATTAATGTATTTATTAATATAATAAATTAATATATTTCTAAAATGGTTTAAGAAGTAATTAATTACTTCATGTAAAACTTCTTTCGCTAAACGGTCTTTCGCATCCATTAAATCTTCTTCTGTAAGACATCGGTGCGGTGGTAAAAAATGGCGCAGTTGTACGAACTGTAAGTTCATTTTATTTTATTTTATTTTTTTTATTTTCCATTTTATTTTGGCTTAGGTATTTTCGAATATTTTATTAATTAGATTAAGTACAACACAAAGAGTTAGTCACCTGAACAATATCTCTTTTCGCATATTTTCCATTTGAATTCAATATTTGATTATCAGAATCTAGCACTTTCATCTCATCAAAAGTATCATATCCAATCCCAACAATAATGATTGACAGAGGTAATGATGATGCCTAGAAATTTTTATGGTTCAGTTATAAGTTTGAACAATTTCTTATCGTCAAGTTATTTAACGGTGCCATAAATTATAGGAATTTTGCAATATCTATGTAAATTTATTACGCAAAATGTCACACCTTGATGATTTCTTCCTTCGTTCTCGTCATGTCACTTATAGCTCCATCAGTTATGATTAAAAGTATGCTGTATAGTGTGCCGTCAGGTGGGTATGATGCTGCTTGTCGTGCAGCATGCCTAATTGTTGGTGCAAAATCAGATGGGCCGGAAAATTCAACAGTTTTTAATGCAATTCTATAAGCTTCCATTAGCTCTTCAATACCATAACATTGGGCGTTATTTGTGATAGTATTCTAAAATCTTAGAAAAAGTAAATATTTCTAAAAAAATGATAAATTTTCAAAATTGATAAAAATTCATTATCTTTTGACCTAAGCATTTTCATGATTAAAAAAAAAAATAACCAGTGGGAAATTATACTGAACATGCTCATAGTGGGGAAGCTTTGCTCCAAAACCATATGCATGAAATATGTGACTCTTGTTATAATATTGACATATTTCGGCGATTGCTTGAATTGCAATTTCATATTGACTTATTTTCGCTTTATCTGTATAATGCAATGAAGAAAGATTCTCGGAAGGCAAATTTGATTTTGTGAAATCAATTGCGACAGTAAAATTCAATTCAGTTCTGAAAGAAAAGAAAAGATGCAAATAAAATGCTCTCAGGGAAAAGGCAAAAACAGTTTTATTCTTTTCTTTTTCTCTTTCTTTCACACTGAATTCTTTTTCACACTTATAAAGCATTTCTGAGTAAAACAAAACCAACGAACTATTCCTTGTACCTTCGCTTTTTGTCATCTTTGTTCCGTTGTAATTTAAGTTTGTTTAAATTACTCGATAACGAATGCGAGTAATTTTATTGCTTTGGTTTCATTTTATTCATCTTTTATTTTCGAAGCCTAGTTAATTCATAGTTTAATTAATATTATTTTGCAATTATTTACGGAATTTTTATGGATTTAGATGATAAAAATTAAAAAATGAAATTGATTTTACCCTCCATAAATGAAATCGAGAAACGAATAATCCATCCAACAATAAACTTTATGAAAGTGAAGTTGCCCAGAATCAACATACTTCTTACTTTTTCGCGTTTTTTTCTCATTTATTAACTGCAAACTCATTAATTATATACATTTCATATAAATTTATAAATTTTACCAATAAATAGAAAAAGTCAAAGTATTTCGATTTTATTAATTTGTATTATCGAAGCGAGAAAATAAATTAAGAAATTAATTCGATTTGTTTCACTGAAAACTTTAAAAAATTTTATTTATTTTTCGTAATTCAGTTTATTTAAATTTTTATAAAATTTCGCTTAATTGTCAAAAATTCAAGGAAAACCTTTTGAAAAGATAACTATACGATTAACTCAAATAATTAGCTTACAAAACATTCATTCTACTTCTAGCAGCGCTGTGGCAAGTGATAAACTATTTGTGGTTTTGCTGGAATCGCTGAAAGTGATTTGCCTAAGAATCAGTGGGCCTTTAACCACGCGAACTCTACTTTTAATGGTTTATCCGTCAATGGGTAAGAATAGAAATGCTGTTTGAACCATTTAACTAAAGTAACGTGATACTCAATGGCAACCAATGGTGAACTGCCAAACAATGATTTTAATGAATGAAGAATTATCTTTTAATGAAGAATGAATTGTTATTGCCTGTTAAGATCAAAAAACTTTCAATAAAAGTAATTAATCCAATTCACCTATGAACAGGTTTGAAAGTTTCATTTAATCACATTAGCAAACTTATAATTTATTCAAATTTATAATTAAGATAATAAATAATTATTATTAGACAAAGAAATAATGATTTACACATATTTTCACTGGAAATATTCTCATAAACAACTGATAGTTTCTCGAAAATTTTAAATTTTTAGTAATTTTTTTTGTAGAACCATGATAAAATTTTTTAATATAAATTTTCATTTATAAATTTATTTTCTTTGTAGAATTATAAATATTATATAATTCTTATTATAAATATGATTCTTATCACTTTAATTAGCGATATTTGGAAATAACGGTGCTAATATTATTATTACAGGTAGAGTAACGTCGATCTTGTTGATCAATCTATTCACTGTTGTCGAACAGCATCCGACAAGATCGTGACTGAAAAAAATACCAAAAATTTTCAATATTCAAATCAGCTTTATTAAATTCCACAATGATTATATCTTCATTCACATACTATGCATAACAAATTCATTCAATCTGCTCATTTCTTGTCAAATATTTTATGGCAAAAAACACAAAATAAAATTGGAAAAATGATTTCTAACAAGCGATAATTGATGAAAAAAAAATTAATTGTTCTGATATTTTCAGTGAGTTTTCTCGTAATAATTTATTTTCAGTAATAATTTTTGCGACCTTTTTTAAAAGTTTTTCGAAATCAATCAAATTTTTGAAAAAAAAATTCGATATCAAATTTCAAAAGATTCATTAATTGCAATTTGTCTGAAGAAATCGCGAAATTTTACCATAATCTTATGGAACAAAAATTTTTACTTACTTCCCATCTTTGTCCCAGTCATAGCATTCGATAACGAATTCCCTATAAATATTTAAAAATTGATTTTTGCAAATTTATGATATGTAAGATTATGCTTATCTTATCCTATAATTTATATTATGATCGCCAACAAAGTTGATTCGACGATCGATATTTTTAATTTTTTAAAAAAATTTGATTAATTAAGTAGCACAAAACATTTCTTTCTGCCCATATTCCTCTGAATAACAATAATTTATGAAAATTAGTGATTCACAACTTAGTAATTTATTCAATTTTAAAATTTAAGTTTATTTTCATGTTTTATCAGCAATTTAGAAAAATTTGTTGATTTACTGGTTTTTTTATTTCTTAAGATAAAAAGAAAAGAATTGTGATATGATCATGATAACGAGCCTATCTTTATCGCCATAACAAAGCTGATCAATTTGAATTTCAAAAGGTTTCCATTTTGGATTGAGATTTTGTTCGTGATAGCGTGTGCGATATGCCAAATGATATCTAGATTAGTAGTCAGTTAACGAAAAATAAATTACTCGAAGAAACACACATACACGACAAATTCTCGGTGATGAATGAAAATTGAATTAAATCATAGTTCGAAAAAAACTATCAATGGCGGCTTACGTATTATCCCTATTAATCCTTGATATCTTTAAAAAAGGGTCACATTTGCCAAGGAAATCCTTGCGATCAAGTTTCGTTGCACTACAAACGAAATATACGGATTCCTGACGGCCATCACTTTGTTCTTCAGCACTCACAATAATATTGCCATAATGTTTTCCATCATCACTGCAAATATCGTGTAAGCATTCGTTCGCTAAGTTTTAAGAAATATTTTTTTAATTTTCTTAATTCTTAATTCGGATAAAATAAACTGTAGAAATAGCACTGTTCACGTAGTGCAATAATGAAATAACTAAGAACTATCAAACATGACGGTTCCACTTAAATTTCCTTTGAATTTTAAAGTTTAATTCATTCTTTTATTTTTCATTTTCCATTTTATGATAACAATCTTCATAAAAAGAGTGCAATAAAAATTAGAAATTAACTAAAGCTTGGCAGTCTTTCTGTTATGTTTTGCTGTAATTATCTCATGCAAAAGGAGAGTCGCTGAACCGATATGTGTTTTTTCTTTTCCAGGTCCCTTATCAAATCTACAAAATCGCTCGTAAATATTTAATAATAATATTCAACATTTGATATTTACTTTTTTTTAAAAATATTTTATTTACATTGCGAAATAGATTTAAATTCTTTAGGGCAGAAAAAATTTCCTTTCAATTTTACGCCATTAAAATATCATTATAGTCATTAATCTGAAATTATTGAATATAAAGTCTATTCACTTTTCTCTATTCACTTTATTCGATTTTTTTTGAATTGCATGGTATTATTACGAATTTATTACGAATTAAGAAAATCAATTAGCTGATTTTTGTAATACTTATAGTAAAATTTATGAAATTTCAACAAAAAATCGTGTCTCTTACACTTCAAAAAGAAGGCGTTGTTGTTCCTCAAAATAATAGGTAATGAAAATTTTTGTGGCCCAATCCGGATTCAAGCAGTTATTTATTACCTAAAATCACAAATCTATAAATCGAAGAAATTTTTTAAACTTTTAAAGATGTATTCAGCAATTAATAATATTAAATTGATTTAATAATAATTGGCAAAGATTTTTTATCATTTGAAATTATTTATTAAATTATTTTAAAAAAAGAAATATTTTTGAAGAACCGTTTTCAATAAAATGCATTGATCTTATTTATTCGAAAATTAAAATTGATTCTATTAAATTAAAAAAGATAATCTTCATGGATGAAATAAATAATTTTAAAATAATTCACGTATTTATTAACATATTTGTACGATTTATTCGAAAAATGAAAAAAAAAATCAGGATTATATTTGAATCCATAAACATATATATATTACATAAAATAATCATATATTTAATCTAAGGGTGAATAGCACAGTATGTCGTTCAGAGCATCGATGCTGAGGTTCTACTCCACACAGGAGTAGACCTGTCCAAAAATCCGAATGGTGCTGGCGATTCATCTGCATTTCTACAGCCAAGGGACTCCCTGGCACATTTGTATCTTGTACAAGCCAGCAGGGCGAATCTAACTAGTAATGGTGAGGACTTTTAAAAAAAATATAGTAATATAAATATAGTATTGACCTCTGTATGACCTTTCTGAATCCACTGAGTTTGGCTTTTAGCATTTTTTTCCGCAATACTAACAACGCAAAATGGATCACTGTATGAATAAGTATCGACATCGCGAAGATCTCTGATAGATAATCTCATTAAATTTAGAACATGTTGACTTAATTAATATTATAAATTCGGAAAACAACTAATAATCACTGAAGAAAAAGAGTGAAAAGTCAGAAAAGATATTTAAAGAAAATTTTTTAGCCTAAAATATCTGAAAATATTTGGAAGTTTTTCTTTTTTGGAAGCTTTTTGGTGGTTAAAATTAATGGATAACTGCTTAATATTGAGTGAATAATATAGAAACAACGAATAATATGAGAGTACCTCGCAGATAAAGTAAGCAGAACTTGACAACTCAGCCGATTCATTTTCGTTATTTCCACTGAGATTTGCTTCGAGATTTTCCGATCTCTGAATAAAGAAAGTCGCGAAATGTATTAATTTATAATTGTCACATTCTTTATATTATCTAATTAAAAATGATAGCGAAGAGAAAAAAAAAACGATAAATAAAATAAACCAAAAGTTGAATCACTTATTGAATTATTGGATTGTCATAGTTCTTGAAAAAGGTTTTACGCAAATGTTGCTTGATTTTAGACTGAATTAACACTGCGAGAAACACAGTGTTAATTTAATTTCGAATTGACAATTTTGCATTCAAGAAGACCAATCTCTTTCATGATAACTTTCAAGTTTGTAAATTTAAAGATTTTTTAATTTTTCAAATATTTTTTCCAACATGACCGTCTTAAATTGCAAAAATGATTATTGCTTATCGCAAAAAGCTTTATCCACAATTTGAAATTAAAACCACGGTTTGCATTTTGCTTTAAAGAATTTAAAGAGAATAAAACTATGAATGCTATTCATAAAATGATTAAGAGTAATATGGTCGGATGGTACAATTGTTTCGATTCCTATTGAGTACCATATGGCGATTCCCTATCCCTATAGCCCAACAGAAACAAAGTTGTCATTAAAAAGTGCTAATAGTGCCTGCGATCCATCTGTATCCTAAATACATTAATAGCCAAGAGGGTAGACCTAACCAGAAAGCGTATATACTTACTTAAAATTACTAAATTTTAAAATATGCCTATAACTTTGGTGAGCTTTGTTGAACAAATGGACAAAGAAAACTTTTTTTTTGGATAAGCAATTATTTGGCGTCATATTTCAATAAAACAACAGTGACAGACCTTGCAGAAAAAAAAGCACTTCATAATACAATTTATGTATTGAAGGATGCAAATGTGTATACAGTTAGGCAGTATTTGTCAAGTGCTTTAAGAAAAGCAAATCATATACATTCTAAATTGAAAAAATAAGAAAGTTGTACGAAAAATATAAAAATATTATGAAAATATCATGAAAATTTTGCTGATCTGGAAGAAATAATGAATATTTTGTGATGGTATAAGGAGAATGCGACAAGCCCTTCTATCGTACTTAATTAAGCTGATTATAGTTTGTTCATATTTATTCATAGAAAAGAAATATATGCCAGAATAGAATATTGCATGGACCATGAGTTTAGCCTCTTTTTCTTAATGTTGGGAACTTACCTGGACTTTTGTTCCTTAAATGATTCTTAGGTGAAAAATGTCTTTTTTCACTATATTGACGGATGGATCCATATAATTAGATCCATTAATTAGAAAATGAAGTCATTCTTCACATTTAGAGGTAGAATGGTCGAATATTATTATTATTATATCGCTTCAACTGAGATCAAATACGTAAGTTCATTTCCTGTCTGATAAAGATAAACCATAAAAGTGGAACATAGTACTTGGAATAGATCCATACTTCTGTACCAAAATGTCTCTTTGGTGAAAAGATCTTTAAACAGAGAAAACAGATAATAGTAAGAAAAACCAGAGAAATATAAATAGTACAAGAAGTATTTTTTCCAAGAAATAACTAGAATGAAGACTGTGAAAAGAATGAGGTGGCAGATATGTCTTAACAAAACTTTGCAACTTGCCAATTTCACCTCTAAACACTCTAAAATATGAAATAAAGCTATCAACTACAAGTGTCTAAAATTCATTACGAAAGTTCATTTTAAATTAAATCAATAGAACAGCGTTAAATTTGTATTAATACTTTTCGACGCCATTTATATTATGTCAATTAATATAATATTGCGATACATCTTACGGATTTGCTATTAAAATTTATCTTTGCTAGTATCTTTGCTGCTTATCTTCACTAAACCATACATTAGATATATTAGAAAAATATGAAAAGTATGAAAAAATCGGCAGACATGTTTTTATCAGAAAAAAGGAATCAGACGAGGTCATAGATCGATGGAGCTCAGAAGCTAAGGAATAAAGCTGAACATAAGGATAAATAATTGGAGGACTTTTGAACGTTTGAAAATAGCATTACGCATCGCAGAGAATCTTAAGAAATCTTTTCGCAAATTCTCAATAATCTTAACGCTCCATTTTGTTTTTCAGCTTGATAAAAATCTCAATTCTAAAAAATATTTTCAAATTGAAATTAAATCACTTCCTGCAATCCGACAAAAATGGCTTGCAATTTACAATATCGACGTTAGAGGAATGAATCAAAATTTTCTTGACAAACAGAATCAATTCCAAAAAATTTTTCAAAATATTCAATTGCATTGAATGTTTCGGAAATATATAAAATGATTAAATGACGATACCTCTATCATAAATTTACTCAGCATTGCAAAATGCGTGAGAGCTTTGAGTAGCAAAAATATTCTTTCGTTTCTTGCTTTCGTGTAAATGAAATAAATACTTCTCTTCGAATGCTTATTGGTCATTCCCATATTTATTTGATCATGTTTTCATTAATACAAGAATTTCTCACTATTGAAAAAAAACTTGGATTTTGAAGATAAAAAGAAACCTCGATCGAGAAAATTTGCTCAGAGACATATTTTTTTAAATTGTTGTTGTTAAGAAGTACAAAATAAAGGTGGTATAACAATATAACTATATCTCACAATATTAAATATATTACAATCGTTATACCCCAAAAATAACGAATATGAAACTTTGTATTTGTTAAACATGGGGCATTTTAATTTCAATTAAAATTTTAATTACATCGCTGCACCACCATCTGCTTTAATATTAGGGAACAATCATTTCGAAATATTTTTATGCAATACCTCGAAAATGATTTAATTAAAAATTAAAATGCAACATATGGTATGGTATGGTATAATATGGTTTTAAAAGAATGAGAATTTTAAAAAGTTTAGAATTTAGTTTCACTGCAGTTACTGCAATTCTTTATTGTACTATAGTCAAATGGATTAAATATGCTTGCGCTAATTCATAAATAGTCCGGTGAGATATTTGCTTTCGACTGGTGTAAATCATTCCAATAATAAACTCCAGGAAAGCGAACATCTTACATGAATATCTGAATGGTTGTTGCAGAATATTAATAATTGCAAAATAACTCAAATGCAATGGACGTATCATTAAAAATGGTTGTTACTGGGCACCCACCTGTATTCCTATAACCAAATCATTCCATTATAAAAATATCTCGCTGTATTAACAGCCAGCTGAGTCAGCCTATCATTAAATGGTTATCGCTGGGGATTAAGAAATAGGCGCTAACCACATATCTTTACTTTAGTCTTACAGATAACGATAACTTTCCTTCACCACATTACCTCTATGATTATTTAGCTTTAAAGGTAAAGAAAATTAATATATTTCAAGAAAGAAACACAAATGGTGATATATTTTGCACAAATTTCAATGAAGGTGAAGGAATGAATATTCATAAATATTAATCGAATGAATACATAAAATACATAGACAAATTACAACTGACATCGCTTACTGAGTGCACATAGCAACGAAGCAAAGTTATGCGAATGAATGTTAAAAGGTTGGCCCGTCTGTCATTATTTGATTCATTTTCTAGCTAAGTTAATTTATCTGATTTATTCTAAAATGTCCATTAATTGGATCAAAATCAGTTGTTTTTGTATTATATACGCTCAGAAATATAATATTTTCCCTATAATATTTTCTATAATAAATAATATTCTCTAATAAATGTAATAAATAATAAATAATATTCTCTAATAAATATAATATTTTATTATGTAATATCTCTGCTAAGGCCATAAGGCAGCTATAAATTTGCAGTGAATGATGGAAAGTTTTAATGTACAAAATAAAGCTCCATTTAAGAGAATTTGTTTAAAAATTTTTAAAAAGCTGATTTTGTAGATATAAAAGAAAATGTCTTTGTGGATATCTTTACATTTCTCGCATACAAATCAAACAAAAACTGGAAAAGTTGTATGTTATTCGATCCAAAGAACGAAAAGAATGACAACTGATATCCTAAGGTAACTATTACGAAAGTTTGGCTCTATTTAACAATTTGTTGACTTTTAAAAATGGTTAGCGAAAAAGAATTGACTTTTTTTTCAGCTCACAGGATATATAATTTTTTTAAACATTTTCAGCATCTTCGTTTCATAAACTCTATTTATCCATCCATAAGGAAAATATAGTTGAGTGGGAAATGGCTCAGATTAATAGGCAGCATTTTGCTATCACTTTCCAGGTGGGAATTCACTTATATTTCTATTGCTAAGTAATTCCTTAGTGGCTTGTAACCAACAGCCAGCAAAATTATTTTCACTACATTTAATCTTCTCTGCCGAAATTTATTTCGTTTTATTGAGAACGATTCTCTCTCCGGGATGTTGGAATTCAATGAAGATTTTTTTCTTCATCAAATCAATTCATTATTTTATGAATTTTGTCACATCGCATGGAGAAGCCATTAAAGATTATGGATGTTGTGAATAATAAGGTTTCTTTAAATTTTTGGAAAACTTTTTTGCCTCAAAATGAACAAAATTGAAAAGCAATAACAATGTGGAGGCTACATGAGATTTCGTCGTAAAAAGTTCATCTCAAAGGAAAAGTGAAATGCTCATTTCGCAGATAATAGGTTCTTGAAGTATCTGAAGGATGTTGCGTGCAAATCTCCTAAGACCCACTGTTTATTTTCATATGATTATTTTTCTCTTAAAATAAACTGAAAATAAACAACTTTTTGGCGAATTTAATTATATATTTATCTTTTGTCCATTCGATACTTCCCAATTGCTCTTTTTTTCTTTTATTCGCATTGCAATGAGGAATACGACAGTAAATTTGTCTAGACGTAAAATTATACTTAAGAGAAAATATTCGTGCAAAAAAATTGATAATTCATAATTAAATGCAACATCATGTGAGATAAAGAGATATTTAAACTTAATTTGTTACAAAAGATACGAAGAGAGTTGTTTCTTGGAATGACGAACGTGCTACAAGATTTAATGAGTTGTGATATTTTAACATTGAGCATATTCAAGGAAGAAATTTATCTAACTGCAGCATTATCAACTGAAAAAATTAATGTTGTCTTCTCTCTTTAATATACTTCATTAAACACGAACTCGTATTTATAGTTTTTAAGAAATCGCAGTGCACTCCTCTTTTTCTTCTTTTCTCCTTTTCCAAAAAGATGCGTAAACTATTCGTATTGTAAAAACAATCGTTTAAGAGAGAAATAAGGAGCAGCACTGGATGAAAAAACAAATTTAAGGTGCAAGATGAACTGCACTTGAAATGAAATGTCGCGCATCGTGCACATGCCACATCCTAAATAGCTAATTAATCTAATAAAAAAGTTAAAAGCGTCTGAAATTCTAATTAATTTAATAAAAGAGGCACATATAAGTGATACGTTTCTTTGAGCACAATATAAGTGAGCCAAGAATTAAATAAAGTTGCAAACAATGAAGCGACTGGTATCTGGAGGCGAAATGATGTGTTCGATCTGGCTTTTAACAAAATTTCTTAATATTTATTTGCAAATAAATTGAGTAATGCATAAAGCCATGTCAATAAATGAAAAAATGAATTGATAGAAAGCACAGTGTTACGCATCATATTTGCATAACTAAATCTCATATTCGATAAATTAATTCATTAATGAGATAAAGGGCAATCAGAAAGGAAAGAATATATTAGTGATATTAGGAAACGGAAAATGGCGAACGAAATTCCTTAATTTTTGGTTTAATTTAGAGCCAAATTTTTATCTGAATTTTTCGTTTCAAAGCATTTTAAAATCAGTTGTTTATTGTTTTATTATTAATTAATTACTGTAGTTTTTATCGTAATTTTAATGAGTTTTGTAATTAATTAGATAAAATAAGATTAATTCTATTAAAAGGAACCCAAAAAGATAAAATTGAAAAAGGGACAATGTATTGAGAGAAGTGATATAAGGATATGGTTCCCCAGTGCTTCAATAAAGCTGTTGATTAGGCTGATATTAGCATATTTTATTCGTTAATTGATGAATAGGCAAAGGTATGACTACTTTGATCTAGGAATGGAAATAAACATCGCTCCGAGTGCTTCAATAATTTTTTAAAAAGTGCTCTCACCATTACTGGTTAGACTCGCTCCGCTGGCTTGCACTAGACAAATATGCCAACATGGAATTCCTTGGCGATAGAAATACAGATGAATCACCAGAATCACCCAGATTTTTGCACAGGTTCACTCCTACGAGGAATGGAACTTCAGCGTCAGTGCTCAGAATTGAACAAGAACCCACTGAGCCGTTTTACCCCAGTGCTTCAATAATATTTAAAATAATATTTTAGCAATTTACTTAAGATTTACTTAAAATTTACTTACTTAATTTACTTAAAATTTCAAATAAGATTGGATTTCTTAAATAGTTCGAGAATGGTTCAATGATGCGTTTCATTTTGTATATTTTTATATTTCGCATCTATAGACTTAAATTTTGAAAGGAAAAAGGAGAAGAATAACGTTTTGATGGCTTATTATATGAATCAGTGATTAATAAAATAATATATTAAAACGAATATTAAATAAAAAATTAAAAATGTTGTATTTATAAAGTAAGCATATAATGGTAAACAATAATAAACAGGAAATCCGAATAAGCCTCAAATTTTAGTGAAAAAAAAATCAATTCTTTTCTTCATTAATAAGCGAACTATCTAACGTCCAACACTTTTTTTTTGGAATAGGATTGAAAATTTATTTTTCTATATCTATATCTGTATTACCAATATTATTATTAAATATTGCTACTATTTTTATTTTTTGCCAGTTTCCTTATTTTGTTGAAAAGTACGATTTATTTTATTGCAAATAACATTGCGAAAACTCTTCAATTTTCTGTTGAAAACAAAAAAAAATTTGATCTACCACAAATGCAAGAAAATTTTGAAAATTTCGACCAAAAGAGTTTTATCATTAAAAGTAAAGTCCGAATTGCAATCCATTTGTATTTATCTATATCCCTAAGTGGGCCTCTAGTGAAGTGACTTCACTCTAGCGGATTCTTTCAATCCAGAAATGGTGACTGCTAATCGAAGAAAAAACACTAATAACATATATCTAACAGAAAACCACGCATCAATAAATGCAACCAATTTTTAACAGAATTAAAAAATTCGTTAGACGAATTTGATTTTCTAAAATCCTGGATAATATCAGCAGAGTAAATTTTCAAAAGGATCAAATTTTTTTAAAAAATTAGCTAAAAACCTGAAATACTTTAAATCTGCGGAATTAAAAATTTTGCTTGAAAATATCGCAAAAATTTATTCAAAAATGATTTTGTTTTCCGGTGGAGCCATTTATAAAAAGTGAATTGAATTGCTTCGAAAAAAATTTAAGTTGACAGCTAAATTCAATGATTTTAAATGTGATTATGACCGCATTCCCTTTAAAAATTTCGGATACCTTAAAATTCTTTAATTTTCTTCCAAAATAAATTTGTAACTTTATTTAGTGTGGCCTATAAAATATAGATGAATAAATTTTAAATCTAAATAAACTTCAATAACAGTGATTTTACGATTTTTTGAAAGAGCGTTTAAAAGCATTGATTTTTTAAAAATAGTTTTGAGATTTTGTAATGGATATTTCATTTAAAATGCTTGAGTAATTTTTTAAAAGTTTAAATTGGAGAAAAAAAAGCTTTATAGAATTTTGATCTCGTTTAAAATTCCAGATTTAAAAATTGACTTGTAATTCGAAAGGCACCTTTTTTTCACTTCATTATTGTTATTATTATTATTATAAATTATAAATTATTGCTACAAATTTTACTTGATTAATATATTGATCGATGGTCATTCATAATCATATTTTCTAAGAAATTTAATTCTTTAGAGAGTTCTAAAACTAAAAAAAGCTAAATCTTTCCTTTATTTTTCTTAATTTTCTTAAAATTATATTTTGTTCTTCTTCTAATAGCTCTTCACTATTACTGGTTAGGCTGGTTCTAACGGCTACAAGGATAAGGCGCTTCCAAGGTCTGATGCCATCGTCGACAGTAATGGAAACCATTCCTTTTTCCATCGTCTAAGTCCATATATTGCTGGCCCACCTAGACGTTCAAAATCTTTTCTGACCGTATCAGTCCAGGTCTTGATCGGCCCACCTCACTTTTGACACCACCCATCATGGGCTTTAACAAGTAACGAAATATGTTTCAATCTCGAAATATGTTGTGGGGGACGAAGAAACTAACAAGAGAATGTTACACTCTGTGGTAACATTATTAATACAGGTGGTATTTGAGCGAAGTGGAAACAATGTGCGATTTTATCTGCTCGGCTTTATGATCCGTGGAATGTACCTTAGACATGGTCAAGGCTAATAGCTTCTTAATATCTTCCACTCTCATCGACGATTGACGGACATCACTTCTTATTTCGAAGGATTCAGCTCCCCATATACATAGATCTGCGCCGAAGTGCTCTCATAAAATGCCTTTATGAGCCAAATGATCTTCTCTGGAACACCGTTGCGTTCTATCATCCTCCAAAACGCAGCTCTTGAATTGAATCCTCAAAGGGATAGCAACAAAGTCGACGAAACACGTGACAAGTGGGTTGCAAATATCTGAAGCGATGTTCCAACACTCTTCTTAACGTGAATATCTGCTCAGCACAACCTGGTCTGAAACCAGCTTGATTAGAGTGCATCCTGCTGTTCCACACTTCCATAAGTCTGTTGAGTGAAATGGGAACAGAAATTTTCCTGAGATGTCTAGTGGGGTGATCCTTCGATTGTCACAGTATACATTGGTAGTAAAAAGTTTGGCAAAGCGAAAAAAACGTTCCCCACTAGTGCATCGGACTCTGATACCATATTTGCTAATTATTTAGTTCAAAAAACAGATTTAAATCCAGATTCTTCTGATTTAAGAAAATTAAGGAAATAAACTTAATACTTCAGAAAACTTATTCATATTCTTTAATTTAGAAAAAAACCCAGCTTTTATTATTTCTTTATTGATACAGACCATAAAAAATATTATGACTTTGGTAAATTTTAATCACTAGAGGAAATGAATCTGCATCAGCCTATTTATAAAATTAAATAAATCTCATGCAGTTCATCCACAGTATAATTATTAATTATAAAATCTACGCCGAATCTTATTGGCATTATAACTATAATGTTAAAACTACTTTTTTAAAATTGTTGCATCCATTGCCAGTTTTCCTCCAATTCTACAATCTCGAGTATCTTTAGGCTTGCTTGCTTTCTCTTTCAACTCCATTAAAATTACGATTTCATTGTTTGTAAATTTGTAAGATAAAAACTGAAAACTTGGATCTAATAAACTAAACACATTGGATTTATACTTTGAAAGGCTCGATTCTGACAACGAAGATTCACTGTGATTGTTACTATGCTAACTATTAACTCAGAATTATAAAATGTTGTCTCTACAGATGTCAAAAGGTATTGATACATTTTCTAGAAAAGTCTTATTTCATCAATAGTTCAATCGAGCAAAATTTGAGGACAAAAATTTTTTCTTTACTTAAAATTAAAAATTTTTTCTTGTTATATTTGTCTGTTTATTATTGGCATTATAACTATGACGTTAAAACTATTTTATAACTATTGGCATTAAAATTGTTGCATCCATTACCAGTTTTCGAGTTACGTAATCTCGATTATCTTTAGACCAGCTTTCTAAAAGTGACCTACAAATAATCGTTGCTTTATACTTTACATCTTACATTTACACTGCAGAAAAACAATTTTTGTTTATTTCACTGCGCACAGAATACTCCAATTTGTTATACAAATAAAAAACCACTGCATCTAAACCCAAACTGGAGCCAAAAATACATTCCTCACTTACTGTTTCCAGAAGAATTCCAAATTATTTTTCTGTTATTATTTATCTTAACATAGAAAACTATGTATTGAAAATTATATATATATATTTTATATATATATATATTTTTTTGGTGTGTGAACCTTTAATATTTCTGAAGAAATCGGAATATTATTACTGGCATTTCTTAAAAAAAATCATCAAAAGATTTAGATCGAATTTTTTTTGGGAGAAAAAAATAGAAAAGCAAAAAATTGATACCTATTTTGTTCGCATCGAGATTTCAATTGACCAGTGGAACTTGATTGAAGCACGCATGGCTGTGACAAATGTTTCTCCAGTTTACATTCATTTCGAACATTGATACTATCTCCATGAATAATTTGACGATAATTGCGCGACGTTCGCCTCGATAATGCAGATGAATCTACTGATCTTCGTCGCAACATATTTTTTACTGATCCAATTGAATTTATCAAAGCATGATTTTTTTCTAAAACCGAGATTTCTGAAAAATTTTCTTAAGAAATGGAAAACTAATGTTTAGAATAGGATTAACCGTCTTAAAGTTTTTCGGTTGGTGAAAATTAAACTCTATCAAATTGTGGAAAAAAATTGCTTTTGATAAACATAGATTTAACAAATGTTGTTGTAAAATTAAGCAAAATAATAAAATATAAGTAAAGAAAATGAATTTACGAAGGATGTCAAAGGCTTGCTTTGTGAACAAAAAAAATTAATGAAACGAGCGAAAGGAATTTGATTGCAAGAAATTCAGATTTTTGTGATTTATATTACCTTAAATGCACGCTTTCATAAAAAGTTATCAATGGCAATTTTTCAACCGATTATGCTGGAAGAAATGAATAACCAGTGAAATGGAAAAGTAGTTAAGTAATTAAGCGGCTAAAAGTTGCTGGTAAGGGCTAATTCAGCTGCTACGACTAGAAATCTTTTTTCTATTCAGACGCACTCGAAATACCACTCGAAATGAAGTGATAAGACACAAACAATGAAGGCAATAATACAATCCGACAAAAACTTAATTATATAATCGAATTGTGAATGATCATTTGAAAACATAATATTTCATCGTACATATTGTAGCAATTTTTTAAAATTTTAATATATACATTAAAAATTTTAAAAAATTTAAATTAAATTTAGTCTGAAGTATGTATATATCGCACCGTTCAATTTAGAAATTTAGAAATTTAGGAGAAAAGCTTATTAAACTGTGGTTTGACAGTTTTTTAAAAGTAATTATTTTATTATTTTTTGTTTTTGTCTTGTTTGTTTTAAAATTTTTTTGGTTATTATTAAGATTATGCCTTAACTTTTTCCTCGAGAATTTGGCAATATTATTTTTGTTTTTAGAAATAAATAAAATTAATTTAACTTGCAATTTTTAAAAAATTTGAGTTTAAAAAGCAGAATAGAATATGAAAGCAGAATAAAAAATAGAAGTTAAAATAAATAGAATGAATTTAATTAAAGAAAGAAGTAATTTAAACAAAGGAAAATTTAGGTAAAGATGCGAAGTGATAAGCGATACAATTTTCGAAGCACGAATATAAATTATGCGAAATTATTTGATATTTGTTACTTCTCTCCAACGTATATTTCTTTTTAATGATAAAATAAAAGAAGAAGCCATCTCGCAAAAGCATTTATGGAATCATAAAAATGTAATAAATATTTAGGGCAAAGCTAAAGGAAAATTGAGTACGGCAGATAAACCGCAAAATTAAATCGTCGTTGGCTGAATGGTTGCTGCTGAAAATTATAAAAATTTTAAGAAAATTTTCTATTTACTTTTATTGTACTATTTACTTCGATACAAAGCAGATATCTTATAGAGTGGCCGGTGTTCAGCTATCATTTCTAATTAGGTTTTCTCCACTCGAATATCTTAGAAACTGGATGTAACGAAACTAAAATGAAGATCGATTGGCTTTGTAAGAAGTGAATTTTTGAAGAAAACTGATTTCGACACTTAGTATGGGGGATGTGAAAGAACGATAAAATAGCCTCATCATTAAGCAGAGAGAAGTCCCTAATCTTTGTCTTCCAAAAAAAAATTTAAAAGGAAAAAAGGCAGCAGCAAGCTTCACTATAAACCTTGAGATATATCCTATAATTTAGTTTATTTTTCTTATCGTATCGAAATCGTGTATTTAAATGCTTTTACACACCAATTAAATGAACATATTTGAAAAATGCGATAAGCAATAATAGTGCTGCACATTTTCATTCGATTGCTAATAAAACTACATCGCAAAAATAAAAATATTTTATGAACGCAAGCAAGTAAATAGGGCTATCGAACTTTCAGAAATAAACAATTCGAAATAAATAATAAATGAGTTCTGAGAAAGTGAGTAAAGAAAAATTAGATTTCGAAAAATTGGATAATTATTCAAGAAAAATTATTCAGATATTTCTCTCGATTTATTTATTCTTCTCATTTCAGTGAGAAGTTTGCAATGAGCAGATTGCTTGCTCAGATTATTGTATCCAGCATTAGGAGTCGAATAATATCTTCCTTTCATTGAAAAGTGCTGGCCGATCTATATTTTCAACCTCAATTCTGAATTTAGAAAAAATTTCTTATCGTATTATAGCCAGTAGAGCGAGTTTTTTATTTAAATTTGCTTCATTTTTTAAAAACTATTCCTAATTTTATTTTATGCATATTTTACTTCGATTGTAGGAATAATTTAAATCAAGTGATTAGTGGCGATATTTATCAATTTAACAATACACAATTGGATTAAAAAAATAAAAAGAAAGGAATGAAAAATATCTAGTGTAATCTTTGGGATCATTTCATGATAATACCCAAAGGTTTGTTGCATGCATACATGCACTTCATCGTTCCATAAGTTCCAGGGTGATAATTATTTAAGTAACGATAATTTAATATAGCAATATAAAACAAAAAAAAAGAATTATTAACGGCCTAGAAAAGAAAAGTTGATTAAATAATTCGTAAAGATGATTATTAGATGATTTGAACCAGCTGGCTTAAAAAAAAGCGACAGAAGGAACAAGAACTGGATGAGATTAATTGCTTAATATCTCAATAAAAAGAATATAAAAAAGCTCTGATCAAAAATCTTTGAAATTTAGAATTTTTGAATTTCGATTTGAAGGTAAAGATTAAGAAAAAAAACCACTTTTACTATAAAAATAAAATCAACTTGCTTAATAAAATCATCTTTTATTTTATAAATTATATTATATAAAATAGAAGATATTTTTTTTTTATTCACCGTTTGTAATTGGGCCAGGATTGCTCCAATATAATTAGGGAATTACATGGGATTCATGGTGAAATGCTTTAGCTATAGGATCAGTTGAACCTAGAAGTAAGACTTTTTCCACTAAGTCTTTTTAATAGCAGGACTTTTACGAAATAAGACCTTTTATTCCTACCAGGAGTGTATAAGAAGGCAAATAATGCGATATTAATCCACGAAAATGCATATATTCAGCTATATTCTTCCTATGGAATGAATTATTCGATTAAAAAAGTGATCTAAATTTTAATTTTACTGAATTTCTTGCGTTCCTATCCATCGTTAATTTCATCAACTATTTTAATAATTCATTTTTTATTTGTTTAACAATAACATTTTTCGTTTTAAACTATTTTTATAATGGCATTTAATCAACATATGCGAAGGATAATTTAGATTTTTATATAAATTCATTGGTCCAATGCAGGAATGCTGATGAACAACTTTATATAATTTGTAATTGATGTAATTCCCACTTTGTTGATGAATAGGTCCCAACAGAAACGAAAGATACTAAAACATAAAATATATGAACAAACTTTAGAAATAAAAGTAGCTTATGTTAAGTATCGAGTGAACTTATAAATAATTAATGAGAAAAATAGCATGAAAATTTATTTTCTGTCCAATTATGAAGCCGATTGAATAAATGATCAGTTTTGGCCCACTTTATTGACATTTCAATTTAATTATAAATGGAATAAATACTTTCTGCAGAATGCTCAAACTATATACTTTTAATCGTGCCATTAAATTATTTTGCGACTTTTTCTTAAAAGCAATCGAAAAAAATATCTCCTTTCTTTCCGATCCCGGAAGTCAGTGATGATTTTTTGAAAACTTTTTCGAGTGGTTTCTTTATTCTATAAATCTACTCTAGCAATTTTTCTCGTAACTTCCGAGAAGTCTGAGTTTTGAAATTATTGTTTGGATTAATCTTTTTTTCGCGCTTCTATCCGCAAATTTACATTGACATTTCGAAAATCGAAAACGATTTAAATAATCGGAAAAATGCTTTATCTCTTTATAAATTTCAATTTTCTAGAATTATAAAATTTCGAATTATTTTGATTAACTTTCATTTTCATATATGTAATATATTTTTGAAGAATATGATTGCATGTGCTCATCCGTCAAACGATATTCATTTAATTGCAGACAGCGAGTGATAAAGGCAAACATATCATGCGAATGCCTTCTAATTAACTACAAAAAATTGGTTATTAACGAGGAGATCCAAATGATTTAGATTATTTTATAAAATTTTTTTCCAATTAATTTATAAAATTATTTTAATAAAATTTGTTTTGAACTTCATAGATTTATAAATTTTTTAATTAAAATTTATTTGAATTTATAAATTTATTTAAATTTATTAAGATTAAAATTTATTTGAGCTGAAATTACAAAAATTAGAAAGTTTTTTCACAAATTTATGAATTAATGAAAATAATTTATATAATAATAATAAATATGGCCTAAGAATCAATGAAAATAAACAAAACATGAGACAAACAGCACTCTATTTTGAATACACAATTTTGTTTAAATAACGTTTATTTCTTAGGCCATATTTATGCCATATTCATGCTACAATACATAAATTTAAGATGCATTTAAAGAATAAGTTGTGAACCACTTATTTATAGGGGTTAATATGGCAGTTCAGGAAATATTTTGCGCTCCAGGCTTTAATCGATTTCGAAAGTCTTCATAACAGTTATTTCATTCATATCTATAATGCCATCTATCAGCTTAGGCTTATCAATTTTTTGCAAAAATTTTTAAAATTGTATTTTGTTAAGATGAATAACTTCTTGGCAACATTCGCTGAAAAAATACAATCGTCTACCACTTTGGCAGAGAAGTAATATTTTTATGTGTCATGAGATTTTTTTCAATTTGCAAAAATAGAACTTTCTGGCATCAAATGAGAGCTATCGAATTTTTAGAAGTTCTGAAAATTGAATGTTCCTCAATATTACTTTCAATAAACAATCGAATGAGCAATAGTGGTGGAATACATTACCTGTATAGAGATCTTTAAATTTCCCTTAAGATAAGTAATTAGGCACCAGCATGTTTCAATATCCACTTGTCTTTATTCAAAACTACAAAGCTAAATAAAAATTAAACATGTAGAAATAAAAGATAAAATAATAAGTTTGAAATGATACATCAAGTTCATCAAGTTATTTATATATATATATATATATGGAAGAAGTTATATATAAGAAGAATATATATAAGTTCCTTATATATATGAGGAAGAATGGAATCTTTTTTCAAAACCTATAACAATTTTCCTAAACAATTTAATATTTATAACTAAAAAAAATATTTATATAACACAAAATATACTTGTCGTCAATGTATATTGCTAATCCTAAAATTACAGCACAAAAAGTATAGATGAAAGTAAGTGGAAATTATTGAAAAGTTAGATCTTGAAAATGGCACTAAGGTACATTGAGATCTAATGGAATTTCATTTAAAAAAACAAAATAATGCTGGAAGAGATATTATGTATACAGAGATGCCTTATCACAGTAACCACCATCAAGACACTGCCTGCTCGAGAGTGCGTGGTGGATTTTCAAGAATAAGCAAAAAATATCAATGCTAATTTGGTATATTTGGTGTAGCTTGATACTACTTTAGCATTAGGCCGACAGATTTCTACTGCCGACTGTAATAAAAAAAAGAAGTGAAGCGAAGTAAATTTTCTTCTTTTTGACTAATTCAAAGGCAAATAAAGAAAGTTCACATGGAATATAAGCTCCATTTTGGCAATGAAAATCTTCGTAAAGCGCAAGGATTTCCTCAGCGAAAATGAAATATTGAAATGGATTGAGAGCAAATCAATTTTAAATAATAGAGCCTTATTTTATTGAATTCAAAGAATATCAAAAAAAAAATTTCTGAAGATAAAAGTTAGAGAAAGTTTTTTGGAATTTTATTGCACAATTTTATAGCAATAAAGATATAGAGAAATGACACCAACAGCACAAAGCATAAGGGAGAAAGCAATTAATTTGATCTCTTATAAGGTTTTTTTTTCCGTCTAATATTTTTTTATCCAATAACGAATGAATAAGTGGTTAATGCTCAGTAATTCTTTAGTTAAAAATTCTTTAGTAATTCTTTAATTAGTTAAAAAATATCGGATAGGAAATGCAAAATATTTTCCTGATCTTCATAATAGCTCATAATTTAAATTAGCTATAATTATAGTTATAGTTAGACCCAACACAATTGAGATAAAAGGTCAGTTTTTTATCTTTTATTGCTATCGAGTGGATCGGAAAATGAAGAGCCATATGATGCAAATCTCATAACTTTTCGATTTTAGCATATATCGTTTTTTTAAGCTTTACTTTTCCATAAAATTGTGATTGATTATTAATTAACTTTGTTGTATGTTTTTCTTTGACAAGCGCTTTTATATATTTGCATAATTGCATCCAAAATTTTCCTCTAAAATTTCCGTTTTAATCAACCAAAAATAAGCAGATAAGCAAGTTTAAAAAATTTTTAAAATTCTTTGCTAAAACTGAGAAACCACTTTTCCAAAATAATTTCCATATTTATTATCGAATTCTTTAGGGAAAACCAAGAATTTTTGAAAATACTGTGATAATCCTTGGTTTCAATAAGGATTTGACAATAATAACTTTAGCAAACGATTTGAAACAATATAGCAGTATATTTCAAAATACTAAATTTCCTGCCACGGAACACATAAGCTGACTTTAAAATTTCTTTTATCATCTTATTGAAAACTTCAAGTAGTTACTTCACATTAAAGAAGAATTCAGCTAAAAAAAGTATTTTGAATCGATATAAAATTTAGAAAAATTTCATTTGATTAACTGAAATTCAAAAATTCATCAACATTACTTTTTGTCCTTAAAATCCAATAAAATTTGAAATTATTAATTTAATGAAGTTTGAACAAGTAAAAAATTAGAATTACACTCACTTCCTTATAGCATTTTTAATCGAAATAATTTGAGTTCTAATTTTTAAATAATAAGTTATCTTAAGTGATAAATAAGGCTGATTTGAGATATAGCGATGTCTCAAATTTTTAATCAAATTGCTTTTTATTATTGAAAAATATGAATAAGTTTTTTCTTCTAAGCTATCAATGGCATAACTATAAAATTAACCAAATTTAGTCGATGTTCTTCACTGAATTGGATGCTTCAAAAATATTAATATATTGAAGTATTAACGCATTTTGCCCTTAAAGAAATTCATAGCTCGAAAATCCCTATGTGTGAAATTCATCCACCTAAATACTTTAAACATTCTTATCTCATACGCGCCTCATGATAGGAGAAATTTTTGCAGCTGAAATTATAGTAATAATTAAACTTTCTAACAGATCTTTGTAATAATTTCGACAGATCTGCTTAAGTGCAAAGTTATATCTTGCTGCTTTTTATATTTCTCAGTAATGGAGGATAATTGTAATCTCTGATCCTCCATAATTTTAAGCATCATTATTGGAAACGAACCCATTGGTTGCTAATTTTTTCGATGCCATTTGAAATTTCCTTTTACCATACAAGTGCCCGGTATAAAACGATAAGAACAATATACTTTTGAAAAGAATCTTTTAGGCGAATGCAATAAGAATAATCTATTCCTTTTATTATTTTAGTAAAGCACAATACAATATAGTAAAAATAATAAAATATTGACGGAGAGAATGACCGACATAACCGCTACGAGAATAACAAATATAAGAAACCTACGGATGATGACACTGTTACTGTCGATAGGCTCTTAGCGGAGAATACTGTAGCTGCCGCTAGGATCAAGACTGATTATATTAGGGAAATTCGTCGACATGGAAGGAAATGGTCAGGGAAGCCACGAATACTTAAAATTTGTCTAGAAGATAGGTATATGGCCATGGTACATGTCTGTTTTACGCAATACGCTCGATTCCCATCGTTCTCCATGGAAGCTTTTTGCGGAAGGATTTAACGAAAAAAGTACTATTACTAGGCAAATAGTTGCGAAAAGAATGTCCGAAACCAGAGCCTCAATCTAAAGAAATGTGTCGTCAGAAATCTTCAAATAGTGGAACTCAGGTAATCTCGCCAATGGTTTGTAATAATTTTTTGATCCCATCTACAGTAGCCTATGATAATTTGTAATTTAATTTATGATACCAAGTAAGGTTAATAACATAGGAAGTAATTTATCTTTATATATATTTAAAGCTACAAGTTGAAAATACAAATTTTGTGATCTACAGCTCTTACTAATTGATAACTCAAATAGTATTTTCTTTATCAATGAAAAGTGGTTGGATGACTCTATTGATAATAAGGAACTAAACTTCGGCTTTATAGCATCGCGTAAGGGCAGAACAATAAATATTCGCGGAGGTGGGCTTATCACGCTTATTCCTGATTATTATAAATTTATAACTTTTGATGATTATGTTTGTTTCTCTTTTGAATCTCTCATAACTAAAATTTATCTTCAAAACAAAAATATTTCCCTTTTAAATCTATATCTTCCATCCGGCTATGGAAGCAAATTCATTAGGGATCTTTATAGCCTGGTATTATATATCAACTTGATTTCACTTCCTTCATAAAGAATAACTCGGGAACGATCAACGAAACATAAATTGGTCCATGAGTATTTTATTATGAAAAAACCTAAAAAAAACATCAAAGTTAGTCAAAAATTTTGGCGACTTTGCACTTAATAATGCTTTAATTTTATATTATTTAGAATAAAAAATTGTAGGAATGACTTTTATCCATATTTTGAAGACATTCAAGAAATTACTAAATACTCAACGTTGGATTTTCTCCTCAGCCAAAAAAATTTTTTGAAAAGATTTAGATTTTATAGATTTTAAATAAGAAATTTTTATCTTAAATCTTTTTGTCAAATGAAGGAAGAAAATTTATTTACAAGGCATTTTTCCTCCATTATTTCAGAATTTATAAAATCTTTATTTCACTTCGTTATGACGGCGAAAATAATTCTCATTCAAATTCGACCAAATGGAGTCTCTGCTTAGATGAAAAATGAACATTCTTGTTTTTTCACCTAATCATGGGCTTTTCTTAAAGTGCTGAAGTGCTGGTTGGACTTTTTTGTTTCTTAAAGTTCTATTTTTAATTTAAATAATTTTAATTTTTAATTTTAATTTTAATTTTTGCCAAATTTATGTGATAAATAGAGGATATAGCCTAGGATATGTAAATAGAGGATAAATAGAGGATATAGCTTAGGACATATCTCTATTGAATCTGAAATGGACCAATTAGCTGGAATGAAATAAAAAATATCCTTTTCAAAACAACAGCTGTTTGGATATTTTTGTGAGGATTTATTAAGAGAAGAATAATCGTATATGTTTGAACAAACACCATGAATTCGACCTCTATATCTTCATAAGAGTAATTAAAAATAAAATTTGAGTGTTGTACATGCGTAGATAATTCATAGTTGACAAAAAGGTAGCCCTATTAGTCACTGAGGCCACCCAAACCAGAAATTTTGAGCACTGAACTTAGCATTGTTAAGGAAAGAAGGAGATGTTGCAACCTCCAGTTTATATCTAATAAGTTTCCTTTAAAAGATGAAAAAAAAGGATTTTTGTTGGATAAATTATATATTCAAAAATATTCCAAAAAATATTTATAAATCAAGTCAGTACAACAGTTAAACATAAAAAATTTTTCAATATCTCAATAATCATTAGCAAATGGACATGGTTCATTATCACCATGTACCTTCGTACATTGGTAAGTACGTTGTGATACATGGCTATTCCATTGTTCGATATCCTCTTGCTCACAAATCCCTGCCAATGTACATGGCACTTTTTCAAGTCGATAGAAATGATATAGTAAACCACGAGCCTAAATGAAAATTAATTTTAGCCAAGTGTGATAATAAACCTCTATTCATTATTCAGCAATTAGAAATGTCTGATTAAGAGACAACAACCTTTTTGAGTATAATATTAGCATCCATATGCATTGCAAGTGAACTGAAGTAAAGTAAAATCTCATCATGCGGCAAACTTTGTTGTATAACATCTTCACCATAGACTGAGATAATTGCAATACATATGAATAGATGAAAATATGTAGTACGATATCGAGCCCAACAAGCTTCCCAAATTCTTAATACATCTTTCTCACTGAACTCGCGCTTAAATTTTGTATATGGCAGTTTGAATTAGCAATGAACTTCATAATTATAGAAAAAAAGGGAAAAACCTTTTAAATGTCTAATTAAAAATGAAATACTAAAGGATTTACAGACAATTTAAAAATTTTTATGGGTTTTCGATGATTTTTAAAGCTACTGACCACAAGTTCATGCTATAAATTTTTAGATGTCCTAGCTCTCATTTTCTTCTTTTATGGAAGAAAAAGTACCTTAAACCAAAGGAGAATCCAACGATGAGTAAACATCAAATGTGGAGCATCTCCGGATAGCTTTATTAAATGAACGAAAAAATCTGGAACCAGCAGTGCAAGCAACTCTCGCAAATAATCCTCAAAAATATATTTTATTAATAATTTTCGTAGGAATTTTTTGAAATTTAATGATTTTTTAAATTTAGAATATAATTTTATTCATTTCTTTATAAAAAACAATTTTTTGTACAATATCAGCCGATTTTATTGTAATATTTTATGAAAATATTATTCAAGGCTTAAAATCGATTTATATAATTATTAATCCAATTTAAAGTAAATTACCAGATTAATATCCATTATTGTACGCCCATCTGTTGGTACAGCAGCAAATAATGTTTGCTGCATTAGCCCAGAAAAACACCAGTAGCTGTGCGATTCATCTCGAATATTACAAAGGATTGGCGCCAATAGATCAGACATTCCTTGAATATAGCCGATTTTCGGATGTGCTATCGCATAATTTAGAAGAATATTTCTAAAAAAAGTGAAGCCATAAATCTTAATTATAGATAATTTAGTTTGAATCCTTCGAATTATCGTAATTTTGCGGTGGGATTAGTTTCTCAAAAATTGATTGAAATTGAAAAATGGACGACGGACAATTTTATTCATTTCTTTATAAAAAACAATAATAAAGCAAACAGCGAAAAGAGCAGTTTTTAAATAATTATTTGTTCGTCGATGCTTATTAGATAATATTTGATTTCATTTATAGATGAAAAAACTGGATGGTATCAAACGATTCACTGAATGGTGATGGTTCGAATTTTCAATAAAAATTGGCGAATGGCAAATACCACAGAATAATGCATTATTAGGATTACTGCTCTTTTCCATTCCTTTTAGCTAAGAAAGAACAATGAAGAAGAGGGAAGAAAGAATGCTTAAATACTGTCAAAAAAATGCGAAAAATTTCAAAGTTGCCACAGAAAATATTTTTTTCAATTCTAAGATTTGAATTTGTACAGGTTCATTATCTTTAAGCCACACTTTACTTTCCATAATTCATTTACAATTTGTAGTTTGAAGTGACAAATTTATCTGAAGACATGACACAATATTTCAGTCAGTGGAATTCCGATCTGGATATCAATTAAAATCATTTCATCAGTGTCGGACTAAAACCACTGATTGTGCAACTTCTGATTATTTTTTTCATCATTTTCATTATTTCCTAGATGATACAAGACATTTATCTTGTTTTTGCTTCCAAAGATTTTTCTTTACAAATTCTATGCTAATTTTTGTAGATTTTTTTAGAATGGTAATGGTTGAATATGACATTAATTCTTCATAAAAAAGTTATAAATGAAGTTAATTTATTCAGAATTTGATTTGCTTGCTAGGGAATGACCTCCATAAAACATGAGATAGATTGCAATCTTTATAGTAGAATTTTACTGCGTTTGATCACAAACGAGAGATAAATGACCTGCGCCAATTAAGATTTCTTAATTTCTTATGCCTCTTTACAAAGAAACTTGCATTTTACATTCAGTAATAATTCAACAGCATTCATGGTAATTACTGAAACAGCTTAATACTACGAAATGCACTTGGTACCCTTTGCAATTTGGATTGCAGATTTTCAGTGGAATATACTAAATTTCCATGAACGCAAATAAACAAAATATAAATTATTGATATAGTTTTTTGCTAAATAAGAATTCAAAAACTACTATTTTTCTCTAAAAAATAGCGATAAATTGAAAGGACAATATTACCATTTCTAAAGTGAAACGTTGATCTGATATTTCTCTTCATCTATTTAAGTTGGATTTACTATAATATCTTGGCAAGAGAAAATATTTTATAGCCTTACTGGATTCAAGGACGAAATTTCTAGTTTTAAGTATTTAAACTGCATGGTTCAACAAGTTCAGAATATTGTTAGGGGGGATATATAATGATAAGCATCAATAAGACCAGTGTTGTCCAGAATTCAGATAACTCCACATAGATTTGATATTTTGAGCAAAACCCAAATCAAATTATTCATACCATTATTAAATATTAATATCATTTCACAATTAGTATAAGTAAAAATTTTGTTCAAAAATTTGAATCAAACGTAATCAAACTAACTTCATAATTTCTAAATTTGGACTGGAATCATTTGCATAGAAAGGATTTCGCCTATCTGTTCGAATAACATCTTTCATAATTGAATTTTCGATATTAATCCAAACGCTTTTTTGGACTCCTTGTAATTTTTTTGATCTACAAAATGAATGAGAAATAACTGTTATTTCTTCTAATATAATTCTGAATTGCGAACATAACTTAATACACTCAAAGTATTAGTCTAATGAGATATTTTTCAGTGTGAACTGTGCACTGCTTTTGAAATGTGTTTTAAGAACAAAAAACAAATAAATAGATCTATATATAAATAGATGAATTAAAATATTAAGCTTCAAATTGACTTCATCAAATCAAAAAAAATGTAATATATAGTTCCTTTGAAGGAATTAAAAAATAAACATTATTTCATCAAAGAGAAGTGGTAAATAATCATACCCCAGTTTTCTAATATTTTGATAGCTTAGAAAAAGATCATTGCGGATTGTTTCTCGTTGTTCGAATGTAGATTCCCAGGGATAGACTCGAAGCAAAAATGGCCAAACATCGCTTCTTATCAATGGATGTATCGAAGCGAAATATATAGCCTAAAGATATTTGTGGTAGGATAAATCGATAAAAATTTGCAAAATTTGCATAATAAATGAAAAATAAGCATCTTTAGGATTCTTCCAATTGAATTCCATGTTTCATAATTTTTTATCGAAAAAGTTTTAATTCAAACCGAAAACTTTGGGTGGAATTAATAATAAAATTAATAAAATAGATAAAAAATATTAGTATTATGCAAAACCTTTCGAATGGTGTAACTATCGTCGATTCGGCCTTCAATGCTTCTATAGGACTTCCAGAAACCCATTCCAACTGAGTCGTAAAGTCCTTCTTCCGGATCAAGTTCCATTTTAGTCACATGTGGTTGACAAATTAATAATTGCTGCTCAGAAACTGCTGATGGGGATCCCTAAAATTCGGCGGAGAATCAGAATAATTTTGAATACCATAATTTAATTATTAAAAATTATAGAATTGCTTTTTAGTGATAGGGCAACCTATAACTGTAACTATCAACGAAATATCGATTTACATCTTTAACAGATTTCGTCTTTATTGCACTCCACTGCTGTAGCAACTGAGCAAGTTTATCCAATCCTCCATAATGAAAGTGCAATATCTTATACTGCGAATCCCGATTAGCTAAAACCAATTGTCCTGATGAATGATCATTCGTCGAGAAGAACAATCGCATTGACTTCATATTACCTTTAAAATTTTTCTATATTTTTATTTTCCAAAATCATGTCAAGACAGATATAAAACATTAAAAAGATTTCACCGGAAATTTTAACTGCTATAAATGAGCTTAAACTATGAGCGAAACAAAAACAGGTGACCTACCTAGATTTACTGAGAACAATGAAGCAGCAGGAGTTTTTTGATGAAACATAACTTTATCTGAAGTAATAGCCACTGCTGTATTCTCATCAATTTGTAAATCACTATCAAGCATTAAGTTATGAGTTCGCGCAAATTGTTCTGGCGACGATTTATAAATATCTGCATCATCTTTATAATAGAATCGCAGCAAAGGTATGGAGTTCGTGGCAGATACTAAATTTTTCTTATCAAACAAATTTTAGATTCTGTTTTTAGCTTTTTGGCCTTAAATATTCGTATTTCTTGTGCGAGTTTAAATTTTATTTAAATTTTAAGATTCTTAATGAGAATGTCCAATTAATTTTTAAACTCATCAACTGATCCTAAAATATTCATTTAAAGTTTAGAAAATATCTTCAGTGGAGTATTTCAAAATATTTACTAAATATTTAATAAAAAATAGCAAAAACATGCATTCTCGGTCAATTTCAAGGGCATTTTCTTTATCATGTTGTCCACAATCATCTGATTCGTCACAAGATGAACTTTCGAATTGACAATCATCCTAGAAATAATTTTACGATAGTGCTGGCTTCTATCATTATCAATTATTTTTTAAGTGAATTTTTATTACATTAATAACATAAAAATAAGAACATGATGTGATAATACAGTGAAAAAATACGATGAATATTCAGTTTTCACCTTATCAGTCATTTCATCCGCAAGTGATGTGGATGCTGAGCTATCATCTTTTCCCTAAAAAAATTGCATGAAAAAATATTTTTATTTCAATTGAAATAACCAAATATGATTTGCAAATTTCCACGCAGTTTTACCACATTTAACACTATGAACCAACGGGAAATAGAAGAATGAAAGAAAAATTTCTATAATAAGCCTAAACTTTCTATTATCAGATGAAACAGCCCTCAATTAAATTTGCATGATTGCAACAGATAAATTTGAAAAGATCTCACTTGTCAATTTAAGAGCCAAATGACACATTTTATAATGTGTAATAAAAGCTTATGAAAAAATCTCGTGTTCGATTAAATTTTGAAAAGATTAAAGGAAGGTTCTCGAATTCCATATGGAGTATAAATGCCCATTTGAAACGAATTTATTAAATTTTTTTCCTGCACAATTATTAATTATTGGATTAATTGAATTAAAATAAAATTGAAATAGAAATATTTTATATGTTGCCATCTTATCGAAATTACAATTTATAATTAACTTGGTAACTGCGGCTATTTCTGGGTTCACTACTAAAGTCAGATCTTTCGCCATAGAACCAATTTGGAAGAGAAGTGGCCGCAGAAGTGAAGAGAAATTTAGCTGGATCTCTAGTACCACTCATTTGCATTTGGTTTTTAATGCCAAGATTTAAGATTTTTTATCACGTGGAAGACGGCTTGCTTGAACTGGAACTTTAAGTAATATATCACTCGATCAAGCCCAATACTAAGTACTAAATAACTATTCATTAATCGATAATAATGATAATAATGAGCGAAAGATTACTCAAAAGTATATCTATAAATATTTTGTCAATTGAATTAATTGAATCGAAATAAAATTGAAATAAAAATATTTTATATACTGCCATTTTAACGAAATTACAATTTAAATTATAATTTCTTACCATATCACAATCATTTTTTTCGAAAAACAAAGGTGTATTCGGAATAATATTTATTGAAGGTATATTCAAATTTGTATCTTCTTTGTTGACCTTGATGTGAAAAAACATTATTTGCATAATTTATCAATGTTTATCAATAACTTATCAGTGTAGATTTACTATAGGTTTTAACTTGAAAGGAAGAAATTAATTTAAATCCAACATTTTCCAAATGTGCTTTGGAAGAGAAAAATGCAGCTGGATCAGCAATGCCACTCATTCGCATACTTTTCAAACGAAATGAATTATTCTTTGGTAGAATGAAATTAAAGAGTAAAGTGAACAGAAAATAGAGAACGAACTGCGAAAATCATTAACAATGGTAATTAACGAAATATGTTTTTCAAGAGCGTGAAAAGGTAAGTTCACTATAAAAACGATAAGTAAGCATTCAAGCAGACCTTAAGATATTTCGAAATAAATATTTATTTTACTATTTATTACTAGTTATTTTCTGTTATTCCGTTTTTACCTAAAATCTCATAATAATTTGAGTAGAAACCTCCATTTGCAAGCTTCTTGGTCTATTTTTCACTGAAGTGACAATCATCATATCACCATTGACTTCAACACGAATTTCTGGATCCTCACAAGAATCCTGTGAAAAAATATTAGGAAATAATTGAAAAATTATGATTGCTCTGTCCTTTTTAAATCTCTAGTATAAAAATTATTGATAGACAAGTATTTTGTTGCAAAAATGTATAAGAAATGTATGAGAAATTTAAACCCTCCATCATTCTTTTAATATTATTTATCATTTTTGGCTTGACTGCCTCCAGTGATTGTTGTGGTGAGACCTCTGGCCTTCGCCAGCGAATAATATATGGATATGGGTCCTCGAAATCATCCAGACATTTATGGCGAGTTTATACCTATCCAGAAATAATAATAAATTCTGATTAAAGATGTAAAAATTTGCATCATTTATGAAAACTTACTGATTCTGTAATTTCATCATTAATAATACTTTCCACAGTATTCTGTCTATTAAAACCACTGTTTTCAATATCGCTATTATCGCAATCACTATTTTCCACCTTTTTATCGAGCTGAAATAATTAATTAGCATTAGATGAATGAATTATAACCCAAAAATTTCAAAACGTACTTAATGTTTTATTTATTATTTAATGAAGAAAGTAGAAATTTTAAAATTTTAAAAAGTCTTAATATTTCTGCCTTAAATTTTTTAGTTCGCTGATAAAATAAATTGAAGGAATATTGAATGAAATGACTGAAAAAAATTTATATAAGGTTTTTTGCTGATAATTAAGGAAAAAATAGCAAATTGCAAATTTGACAAGTGACGATTGTTAAAATCAATTACTGATTTCTTGAATCTGAGATAATCAATTCTGTAACCGTCAACATATTGATGATTTCTTGGTGAAACGCTGCGAATGCTGAATTAATTAATTAATTAACACATCAACAGTTCATTCTTCATACATTATTTCCATACTTAAGAGCCAATTAATATGAGGAATAATTTTCGTACACATGGCAGAATCTCAAATAAAATCTCAAATAGATAGAGTAAATTGCATAATGCATTTTAATTCCAAATCCCACAAATATCTGGTGGTAAGATGATTGCCATAAAGATTCAACACGCTTCGTTGGGCGGCAGTGTCGCTGAATGCCGAAAACAAAGGAAGCTCAGTAGGTTGGTTTAATTCAAAGTGTCAATGCCAAGGTTTTACCTAGTGGGAGTAAGTCTGTCCATCTGAAAATTCAGATACTAGGGAAGTGTATTCCCACCGGCAAGTGGTCAAATTTCTTCTGGCACCACAACCTAATAGAGCTAATTTGGTAAGCAGTGGTGAGCTGTCTTAGAAAAAAATATCGCATCATAATCAAAATTAATATTAACTGCAGTTTATATTTTATCAGGTATGTAAATAACAATAAAATGAAGACTGAAGTGAAACCTTGCAGGGTTTTTTTCAAGAGTTGTATTAGGAAGCCACTGCAAAATTAAAGTAATTCCAAGCTGATCATCATTTTGACATTGAATAGTTAAATATCCAGGAGCATGTTCTTCCAATTCGTCATTATCCTGAATAATTATTCAAAAAACATCGTTTGGAATAATTTGAACTGGAATAAATTATTTTTAAAAAAACAACCGTCCACATAAAAATTTTGAAATAATAGAAAATTTAAAAATTTATAAGCAAATGAAAGTATTGAAAAGATTAAAAATCTCAAAAACTCATTTCTCAGTTCAGTTTACTTACATAAATTTGAAATACATTCTATAAATAAATAAACGGATAATGAAAAAATCTCGATACTTTTTCACTATCATGCTTCATACAATCATGAATACATACATTGTTTTTAGAATAAACAATTTCACCATCCTTGCCAACGAAAAAGTTGCTTCCACCTGAAATTGTTAAATTTGAATATTAAATATTAGGTGGTGAAAGGCCTGGATAGGCAAACTATATATCAAATTTTTCATGCTATATTATCACCTTTGAATGGCTTTTTAAATTATCACATTATGCACTTCAATGAAGAACCTTGAAAAAGCGGTAAAATTTAAGAAACTTAACAGAGAATTCATAATAGGCAATAGTTACTCATTAATATCGGAAATCTAGATTTCTAAAGAATTCCTTCCAAAATTTCTTTCTTCATTATTATCAAAAACTGCGAATAACTTTATTTTTAGAGCGGCTCCAGTTACAATTTTCTTTCAGATTACTTCAGAAGATTAAGTTTAAAAAGTAAGAAAATTTAAGACAATTTTGAAATAAAGAAAAATTATGAATGAATGTTAATGAAAAAAAATTGACATGCCTCTGAAGTTATCAAATGCAGCATGTGCTTTTTTGATAAGATCACTTAAAGAAGACATTAAATTTATGATATTTATTATCGATAAATTTTTGAGCAGTTATACTGAAAATAAAATCATCTCGACTTCTATTAGTTCATTAGTTATTTCTCGGTTCATTTAGAGATTACAGAAATGCACAAACCCGAATAAATTTAAAACCACTTTGGAATTAAAAAAGATTTAAAAGATTTGGGACTCGTGCAGAATCGAAATTGTGTCCACAAGATAAGAATGAATTAGCTAATTATTTCTAGTAAAATCTTCATATTAATTCGTTTTATATAATTTTATGAAAAAAATTTTAAAGAAAAACAATCATGGAATTTAATCGTAAATTCTCATCGTCAAGCGAAAAATTTTTTTAACACTATAATCTCACTGCTACAAAAAATCGAATGACACGGATATCCTACAAAATAATTTGATGGGTGCAGTTAGTCGAAAAAAAGTATTATTGGAAGAGATGGATGATGCAGAAAAAATGATTTTGAATGAATACGCATGTTGATTATACGTTTTTTCGTTCTAAATTTTTAAAACTTTCAGCAATAAAATTAAAAAGAGGAACAGATATTATGAACTTTTCCTGTATTAATTTACCTCTATTAACTCAATTTGCCTTAATTTAACAAGCCAATTACGCCAATGTTAGCGCCAACATCACTGCTAGATACTTGGAAGCGTTATCGGAATATATATCAGTCAGGTAAAAAAATTTAACTAAATCAATTTTAAAGGGTTGAAGGCTGCCATTAAATCTTCAAAGTAGTTAGCCAAACCAGAAATGATGGATGCTGGAGTAAGAGGTGTAAGTGGAATATACTTATAAAAACCAGAATTCCTAACTTTCCGCAATTATTTCCCGAAGATACGATATTTTAAAAAAAGAAAAGCATAAAAGCATGAATAGGGATAAAATAAAATTTTAATATAAATTTAATATAATATAAAACCAGTTGAGAGAAAATGAAGTGCCATTCGAGGATTTCCATAAGCAAAATAGCAAATCTATGGAAAAAAGCCGTCCTTATAATTTCATATGCGTCGCGTGTCCAATATTCAAATGCATTGGATGCGAATTGGCTTTCAAAATAAAAAATTGTTTTAAATTAAACATAAGAGCCATGAATTTTGCCTATTTTAAATGTTAATTCATCCTATTTAGAATATTATCAAAAATGATGAAATAATAAAAAATTTATGAATAAATGCATTAAAAAAACAGAAAAAGATTTAATTCTGCGAAATTTGTAAATAAATATAATAAAATTGATACAGCAGGACAATTACAATTGTAATTCTAAGTGTGTTGAGATATATGACAATTATCGCTGAACAACTAATGAATATTAATTATCATTTCCAATTTTTTGCTTCGCTTTCCTTTGATAGGTCCCCAATAGCACTTGCATCCTACTGACGAGTTTACTTTTCCCAGACAAGAATCGTATGAACTTATGAAAGCAACTTTCCACTTAATCATTTTGTCCTAGCTACGTCATCTATAATAAACAATAAAAAATGAGTAAATGTAACGATCACTTCAATGGGATAAATGGGGACGTACAACATCAAGTGCAATAGATTTATGCTATAGGATGAGAATCGCTTTCAAAAGAAAAATGATAAAAAATTGTTGGGATGAGACTTCTCCTAAAAAAACAATGCACTTTTCATCGGAATTTCATTTCCTGTGAATCAATCAATAGTCATAGTTGCTTAGCATCACATAGTAAATATTATTTGGTTATCAGTTAGAGTAAATAATGCGAAAATCAATATTATCACGTTTTTCTAAGCTGTCTGAAGTTCGCAAAACGTCAGCTCTATTTTATCTGATCAGTTGCAATCACAGTACTATTCCCCGTTTGATCCAAATTTTGCAATAAAGAAATAATATTATTTGTTCTGTTTTGTTTCGAGAGATAATTAGATTAAGGAATTCCACCATTAATAATCGAATTACTATTTAATAAAATAAATTACGTACTGCTGCTCTTATTTCGAGAGAAAATTGTGCAAAATTATCCATGAAATTGTTTGATTCTATTCATTCATAATTTCGCCTAATACGTTTCTTCATTTGCAAACATTTTTCTAGTCTACTTCACGTTATATTCAATGCTTTATTTATCGTTTCAAACAGTCACGCATGGTTTCGCTTGTGCCGTCCGCTTACTTGTAAATAAATAAATAAATAAACTGCGTGAAGTGATTGCTTTGCTGGCTAAGTGCAAGCAATATTCATACGTTTCCACACTTCTCGTTATAAATAAAAATCTCTGCAAAAATAACCAGTAATAACCAAAATAACAATACAGTCGTTCGATGAATGAACAAGGCAGCTGAATTTTAGAATTTCATGAAGAGTTTTTTTTATTTACAAAAGAGCACAATAGCGCATGTTGCTGCACGTGAATAAAAAATAAATTCACCAACGGTTTCATGAAATTCTTCATTACAAATATTCATCGATTTATAAGTCACTGATTCCCTACCCATATTTGTCATCCGTTATCTTATACGAACTGAAAATTTTGATTTTTAGATTTTGAAGATATTTTTTCATATGCGAGTAATTCCTGGGCGCACATGAGTGCGAAATGTACTCCACCTTCGAATATTCTTCACTGCACTGAAAGATAAAATCATTGGGCATTGAATGAAATATGAATTCGTCAAAGAGGGATAACTATTGTTTAAAGCACAAAACCTGGAAAACTTGAAGATCTTAAAATATTAAGGTATAAAACGGAAAAGAAAGCTTCTTTAATTTAGAAGATTCATAGCAATGATAGGTAATGATAGCATCAATGTTAAGGAAAAAAAATTATCAATTTTCCTTTGAAACTATTTACAATTTGAAATTGGGAAATTTACCTATAACATTGTAATGCAACAGTCTTTTGTTGGGTTATTGTCTAAAATTCTAGGTTTTCCCTCTTTCTTCTAACGTCACCATGACCGACACAATCTCATCTCCAAATACCTCATTCAGTGCAATACCTTGCGTGCCTTAAATAAATATGAGCATTAATACTCATTAATACTCATGAATTTAGTTATTACTGATCTAATATAAATTAATGATACAAATTCGGCCAATATTTCCAAGAATATGTGCGATGTGTGGATGAGTTAACTTCCTTGACTATTAGTTATATCCATATCCGATATATCTATATCTGAAAAGAATTAAATAATTATGTGCAAAGAAATTAAATTTGTTTTTTTTTGAGGTCATTTGTTTTTTATATTGTTCCTCAAAGAATTCAGATAAGAATCAAATAGAAAATAGTCATAAAAAATGAGAAATAACATCTTGCACCAAATGAATTCTGCTGGATTCCCTATTTTTTCCTTGACTATCAGTTATTTTTACAATTGCGAGCATTCTCTATAGATATTAAAATAAGAAATAATTTACATTTACAACATAATTTGCATTTTTTTATACATGGATTTATAGGTAAATGATGCAGAAAATAAATTGAAATTTTAACTTTCATATTTTTGTAATGGGAAATGGATTCACTGACCTAACCATGTTCTAATGAAAAAGAGAAAATTTGGAAAAAATTTTTGATTCAATATAATTTGGTTTGCTGATTGGATGTCCACATCCTTAAATTTCGCACTACCTTTGGCATCACAGTTCAATAGGTTAAAAAAGATTGATTTGCTTTGACTGGGCCAGTTTGACGATTAAATCGAAGCACCGAGCTGTGGAATTGAGCTTTCTTTCCTCATACCAGACAAGAATATGTTGTCATTACGTAACCTAGGTTCAAATAATAAAAGAAAACGATTAACGGTTCAACAACTTTTTTAAAAGTCCCCTTTTTTCTATCTAAAAACATTTCTGTTGCTTTATGCAATTCTTTATGAAATACCTAAATTTGCTTTTTGCATTTTGTTCTCTCCATCAATAATGCTTCAATAGCTCTATTCGTTTCAGATAAAATGCACTTTCTCGTATATTCCAGATCGTCAATTATAAGATATTGGTTTTTTTTTGGAGTACTACTGAGGAATAATATTCAACTAGAATAATTAAATTTCATAGAATTTTACCATCTGATTGATGCCTTTGCATTAATTTTATATTTCATTCAAAATATATACAAATATTTGTAGGAACAAATATATTTATGTGAATATTTTATGCATATTCATTCTGATGTGGTACAATGACGTGGTATACTAAAAAACAAATAGGTTTAACTAGAATTGGCTTTTATAAGCAAATTTTAGCGCCTCTAATAAAGCAAAAAACTGTGAAGGATCGCAGAATAAGATCAAATCTACTAATTGTTCCATCCAGTGTTCGATTATTGCTCCCGACTTCATGAATGGTGGTTCGGTAGCTGTAAGATGAATTAAAGATTTTACTCCTGCATTGAAATACTAACTGCAAATTATAAAACAAGCATATCAAAAGCAGATGAGTGAGAAGTATGGTAATTTTCTAAATTGCTATATAATTTAATGAACATAAAATAGGCAATTCCAGTTCGACAACGCAAAGGATCATTTGATGGACCTTTCATAACGAATGCAGCTGGATAAAAAAGAAGAGATGAAGAAGGAAATTACCTGAAAATGTTTCTAATGAAGTGCTGAATACTTATATTAAAATATAAAAAGTCAAGAAGAGAAACCATCGTGAATGGTCGCCCAACGACCCTTTTCGATAAACAACGTGAATTCGTGAATTTTGAATGAAGTCGCATTTCAACTTTGAAGATTTTTCAATGATTTTCCCTTCCATCAAAAAAAAGCATATTTATTTACCAATAGATCGAAAGATTCTTTGATTATAGTTAATCGCATTCTAACAGCTCTCACCATTACTGGTTAGACTGGCACCATCGGCTACAAGGATAAGACATCTCCAAGCTACTTCGTCCGACGCCATCATTAGTAGTGATAGAAGCGATTCCTTTTTCCATCGTCTAAGCCCATATCGCTGGTCTCTCTATAGTTCAAAATCTTTCCTGATTGTATCAGTCCAGATC